CACTATCTCCTATATTTGCATCCTGGCTGCTATCTTGAGGATCCCCTCTACTGAGGGGCGCAAGAAGGCTTTTTCCACCTGTGCCTCTCACTTCATAGTGGTCATTTTTCACTATGGCTGTGCCTCTTTCATGTATTTGAGGCCGAAATCTAGCTACTCTCTTGAGCGGGATCAACTTATTGCTGTCACCTACACTGTGGTAACCCCTCTCCTCAATCCCATTGTTTATAGTCTAAGAAATCGGGCTGTGCAGACAGCTTTGAAAAATGTTTTCTGGGGAAGTTTACTGAGTAAGGGATGAAAGATAGCCCAAAGGAACACTGGCCTCTGCGCAGTCTGGTCAAAGACTGGGAACCTAAGCTGATGGGCCAGGTAGTCCAAGCCTCAGGCCAAAGTTGCACTTCCTGCCAGGGCCTGAAGAGCCCACTCCGCCTCTGCCTGCTCTTCTTCCCAGCTGCTTGGTATGCAGAGACTGGACTCCCATCTACCTGTGGTGATCACAGCAGGCACAAAAATTTATTTTCCTTTAAGCCTCATAGATGGCACCACTCATTACTAAAGCTCATAATGTAGTAAGACTTTGCTTAATTTACTAAGATCATTACAAATTTTCTAATCAAGTGAACAAATGAGAGGATGCTGAAAAGTCCACACTCAGGGCTGGCAGGAGCTCTATCATAAACACTGGAGAGATTTCTACTATCATTACACAATTAGTGTATGCAACCTATAATGTTTCTCAAAATCTAGAATTCAGTGTGTGACAATCTGAGTGAGAGATTCATTTAATGCCTTGCTAATGGAGAGATGGGCTATTCTTTCTCTCCTACTGAGTGCTTTTTCTTCTTCTTCTTCTTTTTTTTCCGGTACCAGGTATCGAACTCATGACTCCCTGCTTGCTAAGCAGGTGGTTATGTCATTGAGCTAAATCCCCAGCCTTAGCCCCCATGCTTTTCATGTTATACAGTTGATCTCTCTATCTATGATTTATTATTATTTCTTCTTCTTTACTTTATTTTATTACCTAAAATGAGAAGATTGTATTTAAGCAATTGCATTTCTTTTCTTTATTAGTTGCTGGTGGTCCCTGGTGTCAATGACACTTTTCCGTCCTCAAGTGGTGCATTCTATTCTAAATCTGTTGTAGAATTTGCTGTTCTATCTAATCTGCTTTTCACCTACAATGATTCATGCATGGTTCACACATTGTCCATGATAAGTAAAAGTATAGTGAATTCTAGCAGCTGTCAGGGAGGAGATTGAATGCAAGGTCTACAGTTTAGCAGCTTTGCAACCCTGAGTAATTTGCTTCATTTTTTCAGCTTTCATATTCTCCAGTGTGTTTAGTTTCATAATTTTCATTAACAATTAAACGTTGTATAAGGAATGTCAGACAATGCCAGGGCCATAGTGTTCTTCCACTGAATTTTAATTGCTGCCAGTAGTGCAGCAAGGAAAATAATAATTGCTTTCAGTTTAGGGAACATTTATTCTAGAAGAAGGATCAGAGAAAGCTACATGTCTAAGCTGGTACTTGTTTTTGTTCCCAAGGAATGAGTCTCAAGTGTGCCGACTGGAGATAGTCAGGAGAGACAACAGAATAAACAAAGCTGGGTGGTAAGAAATATACCCTGTTTCTGAGCTCAGAGAATTGTTCAGACAGTTTGGGAATGCCTCACAAATTCTCTTGAAAAGTTTTCTTGAGTGAGAATTTTGGTGGTGGTGGGCAGCAGGTAAATATTTTGGTCCAGATATGAACTTTTGTGCGTGGGAGACAGGACACAGTAAACATTTGAGCAGAAATTTAAGAAGCATCCCAGAACAGACTTAAGGAAATGGATCAATTAGCAGAGAGGACAACGAATTTCAGCAGGGGCAAAACAGAAACAAAGAGAAAGTCAGAAATTTAGTGCCGTCATTCTAAAGAGAGACAGAAAATAAGGGTAATAATAGAAACAGAAAGACATTACAACACATTTAAAACAGTAGGATCCAAACCCACAGTATTTGTGAATGAGACAGAAGATGGGAGTGACTTACAAGACTAAGGAGGGATTAGACACCGATGATATTTTTCAGATAGGAAACAATATTTTTTATATTCTGAGAAAAGAAATATATTTTCTACTTAGAATTTGATGAAAAATAAATTTGAGAGGAACTAAACTAAATCTCAGAGAAGAAAGTAGGCCAGAGAAAGGCAGGTGAGTCAGTTAGATGGCAGGAAGTTTCAATGTCAAAGGAGAAAGATCTTTTGCCACGGGGTCTTTTTTACTATAAGTTGGATGTCTTTGCCCATTGAACTGAATGTGTTTGAGCAAATTAATTTTCACATTCTAGTCTAGTCTATTCACTCAGTGTAACAGTGCCCAAATGCACATTGACTGAGGCAGATAAGAATGTTTCAAATAGTGCTAACTATTGATCAAAATTCTATCTAGCTTCCAAACATGATAGTCTTACATGCAGAAAGATATAACACTCCTTGGAGGCATTTTTGAAGTAAAAATTCCTGGAATTCATCTCTGTTTATTTCCATAACTGATCTGGAGTGGGAGCAACAGAAACAGTATATAAAACTTCCCTTCATGATCTCTTAATTAAGGAGCTGAACATGTACAGGATTTAGTTTAGTGGTGTAAGCACCTGCCTGACAAGCACAAGGTCATCAGTTCAATAACTGGTACAAGAAAAAAAGACAAATTATTCTAGTAGTTGTGACAGATATACTTCTGATGAGACAATAATCTCTTATACAATGCTCTTTTAAAGGAGCTATGTTTTAAGTGTGGATATTATTAATTTTTTATATGTAATCTACCAAAAGTGTCTTAAACATGCTGTGTTTGGATTTTTTCAATTGGCAAATAGAATGATAATAATATCTGTTAGATAGTATTGTTTTGGTGAAGATTAATGTAAAGATTTTAGGACAAAACCTGCTAAATATTAAGTACAAAATACAATCAATTTTTGAAATGTCTAGACTGTATCACTTTGCGGGTGTTTTGCCTACCTGATGCTGGTGGAAATCAGAGAATGGAGTGTGGATTATTTTATATTCTATGTTATATCTGGGGAAAGAAGGTGGGAGGAGAGGCCAGGAAGGAGGATCTAGATTCCAGAAACCTGAAAGTATTAAACAGCAGAAATTAGATCATATCTATGAATCAGGCATGAAATGGATGGCATTAGTTCCTTAAGACGTAAATCTGTTAGAGGTGAAATAATTTTAGAGAGCCAGACAAGGAATAGAAATCAAGAAAGAAAAACAAAGTTGTCACCATAAGCTGGGCTCAGGGACAGAGAGTAATCTTTGAATTATAGAGAAGAAAATTAGCAAAAATTTAAAAACAGGATTCTAGTTCAAAGTGAGTAGGCAGTAGTCAATAGATGGGATTCAGTTAGGAAAAAATTAACACCAGAATCAAAAACTTCCAATTGTTACAATATTATACTTTACATACTTATAATCTCTTATATAAAATATGTATGCTGTTTCTAAAACCATTATTTTTGCTTGATGTGTAGGTGCTAAGAATCTAATGTCAGAAGGAATTGCATGCAATTGTGATACTTCCAAATGTTTTTCAGATACTGTCTAGTCTTTATATTATTCAATCTCTGGTATAAAATGTTATAGAACACTTTGCTTTAAAGTTTTTTAATCCATCAAATACCTACTACTCTAATTTGGCCTTGATAATTGTTGGTAACAGTGAAACTAGGGAGAAATGACTCATAAGACCCCTTTGCGTTGATTATTTCTAGCACACATTTTATTGGATATTCCCCTATTTGGTAACTGGGATATTAAATAACACTTATTATCAATTGCTTATTGGGCTGAATAATTTCATATGTAAAGTATCAGGTTATTTGTAATCAGATAGTGTAGTCTTCATTTTCAAACATGAGAACTGAAATACATTTTAAAGTGAAACAGAAATTTGTGAATAATAACTTTAGGATAGTTTCTGATTGTCATTTTCCATAGGATTTGGTTGCTTATGTAAAAATAAAGTGCTTATATATTACTAATGACAAAGAGTTTCTGAGTTTTAAACAAATTTGTATTAAGTAGTTCTTCTAGTAGAATTTCCTCCTACAATAATGAGAGTTACTTTTGTGTGGAGACAGGATTTAGTCTCAAAATGCCAGTCACGTGACAGTACTCATGGACTGGATAATGTTGGTTGTTTTTGCATGACACTAGCAATTATACACAAGGCCAAAAAAAGACTTGGGAACTCTCACCAGAAAAACAGACCATTTTCTTAAATAGATCAAATCAGACTGTCCCTATTAAATCTGTTTAGATCAAAATTGTCCGGAAAATTCCTAGAGATAGCATTACTTATTCTTGTTTTTCCCTTTATTTGTAATTTTATAAACAATTCTATTCTCTTATTTCAATACTTGATGAATGTAAATAAACCCAGCTGTCCTTTTTAGCACATTAAACCGTAAGGGGGAATTAGGAAAATAGAGGATGATAGGGGCCCACGCTATGCTGGAATTTTATTGTTCTGAAAATAATAACATATAAATTCAGTGTTTGGGTGTAAGAAAAGGACAAGTCCAGCCACATGTGGTATTGCATGCCTGTAATCTCAGCACTGAGGAAGCTAAGGCAGAAAGATTGTGTGCCTGAGGCTAGCTTGGGCTTTATAAGAGTTCCAGTCCAGTATTATTATGCATTGAAAACTCGTCTCAAACGGAAAAGAAAAGAGAATGGAAAAAAACAGAAAGAGAAGAAAAGAGAGCAAGTTAAGAAGAAAACAGATTCTCAATTTATTTCTGTGCAGTTGAAGTTCATAGACTAAAATATTACACCCTCCCCAGATAAACATCTTCATTTTCAATATAAGAATTTAAATATATTTTACAATAAAAAGGAACTATAAATCAATTGGGTTATGTCTCTTCTGCAATGGTTTCTTTTACAATATAATTAGCTGTTCAAAATGAGATAATAGTAAAGAAATACAGAAGCTCAGTTGGATAAGAAATAGTTTATTTTATTTTTAAAAAATAAACACTTTCTTCTATACTCACAGCACAAAAAATTGATAAAGATAAGCAGAACACAAGAAAACAGTTAAAGAGTAAAAACATTCACGCTTCCAAATTTTGACTATTTGCTTATGAAATAACTCCCTGGCCTTTACACCTCCAACGTGATTAACATCTATCCATTCCAAGTTTGATTATTCTTTTTGGATCTTGAAACAACTGTAATACACACACACAACCAATCTTTACACTCCCACATGTGTCTGCCTCCCCATCCCCCAGTACTTTGCAACCAGGAGAATTTTCCACAATCCTGAAGATTCTATTTATCAGTTACCAAAGTAGGAATTGGTGAAGCCAACATAATCATAGCCAGCAGGCTGGCTTCGACCCCGTGGGTCCACATACTGCTGCATATGTATGGTACAGAATGACACTTGCTCTGGGGTTAGCGCCTGAAAAGCATAAAAAAAGAAAGACATAGTAGAGAGGCAGAAAATACTTCTAGAGGATGATAGCCCACGCTATGCTGGAATTTTATTGTTCTGAAAATAATAACATATAAATTCAGAAATCCTTGGGATTTCTCTTATACCCTAAATGCAGAAGTTAGAGCCAGATTTCAGAAGGATGGGGAAGCCCGATTTCCATCATACTCTTTTCTCTAAAATGTATGATTTCTAATCCATAAGATCAATTCAAACTTCTAGCTTATCTCTTTTCTGAAAAAAAGATCTAATTCCTATATTTCTCATTCTCTAAATTTTGCTGAGTAAGTAAAAGGAATAAAATAAAAAGTTAAAAATAAAAATTAAAAACCTGTCAAATGTTTTGAACCGACTTTGATAGTCAAGGAAGAGTTACTATAGGTTTCTGAGCAGGATCCAAACAAAAAAGATTAATCAAAACATATGACATCCTGGAAAGAGAAAGTCTCAAAAAGAGAAAAATAGGGAAGTGGGTGAGAGGTTTCAAAACAGACAAACAAAAGTGAGCTGACCCAGATCAAGATTATGAGAGCATAGCAACTAGAATCTTACCTGCTTCAGATCATCTTTGGTAATATAAGACTTTCCCTCTGCCAGGGCCTGGAAAGCACTCTCTATGTCATCACTGGTCTTGATATTTTCTGACTCCTTGTCAATCAAGAATGATGTGTAGTCTTCCAGGGAGACATAGCCCTTCCTGTGTGAGAAATACAGAAGCTGTGCTTTCCAAAGACAAGAAGAAATCCCATCCCCATCTTATACAGTGTTTTAGAGGCTGAGGGGTGATGGATTCCCTGTGGTCTCTTTTAAATAATCTCTTTGAGACTGTGGGTTACACCTGCATTCCGACTTATCCTCTCTGTTTTACACCCAAATAAACCCTTATTCTCAAAATTCATATTCAGCTTCCAGTTTGGTTCTTTTAAGAGTTTTGGAATTTCTCATCAACCTAAGTCCCCAGACACCTAAATTACTAGCATTCTTGTGTCTGGTGTTAGAAAAGAATTTGTACCTGAACATCAATTTGATCTTTCTAAAACTCTTTCACACCCCCCACAAACACAAACAACACCACCCTCAACATAATGGCTTTTTTGTTGTCCATATCTACTTAAAATCCCACATCTATGAACAGATTTCTTCTCTCAATTTTTATTTTCAGAACCAGCTAAAATCCATAGATCAAAGATACATCATGAATGCATCAACTATTATAACTGTGCTAAGAATCTGTTTTGAAATTGGCTTTATTGTTACATTTATATTTTTGTCTTTAAAATTAAAAAAAAAAGATAAAGTATGAATTGGATAGCTTTTAGGGTTAGGTCCAGTTACAGTTAGTGCCATTTACTTCTGAAATAAGCTTGAAAACATACTAAGAGCTTGCCAATTCACTTATGACTGTATTGACATATTTTTCAATTCAGTGAGTTTCTTCTTTTATGGACCACTATACACTTTAGCATTCTCGCTCCAAGCCCCTATCTTCTGTTGGTCTGGCTTTTGGTCTTCTTACCTCCCTGGATCCACAGCATCCAAGAACCTCTGGAATCTAGGTTCAGGTTCATCTTCCTCTACCATGGGCAAATAGTAATTGAGTCCTCTCAGGCAGGACCGGAATTCTTTGTGTGTCAAACGCCCTGTCAAATTCTCATCAAAATGTCTAAGAATAAAACATGTTATTAATCTCAAGAAAGAATCAAAGTATAATAGAAATAAGTAAGCCTTATTGTATCAACTAGAAGTTTAGTAACACATAATAATATCAGAGAGCTGAGAAGTGACCTTGTCTGTATCTCTGTATCTTCTGAAATTTTTAAATAATGGATAGAAAAAAACACAATTACTAACCACTGAAAGATATACATTTTTAAACTTCAACAATTTCATAGGAATTATATTAATATATTTCATAGGAATTATATTAATGTATTTTAATATATTTTTATATTATAATTACATTAATATATTATTGAAATACTATGATGTAATTTGTAATTATAATAAATTATAACTAAAGCTAGTTCACATATGTAGATTTTAAGAACCCATAAGGTGGAGTTAGCATTATTCACAGACTGCAGGTGAGGAGAACAAGAAGTCAACAAGAAGCTAAGACTTCCTGTGAGACAGTGCCATGTTCAGGCTGACTAGGGGAGAGTGAGGGGCCAGACTCTTCTGGCACATGGGTAGGGAGACAAGAAGAGCTAACATCTCCACTGCCATAAAGTGATGGAGAGAAACACAGGCTGTGATGACAGCTAACGAGGGAAAATACAGCTTCAGGTTTGTAATGTTTAGTGAAGTGTTTCACTGACTTTGCAAGCCAAAATCCAGTAGTCTAACTATCTATTAAGAGGATAGCAATATGCAGTGCAGCATATATAGGGGATCTCCTTTTGAAAGTGGTAGCCATTGTTAACTCTCTATTACCTTGTTTTGAAATCCTGTATCATTCCCATTGTTTTGTTTGGTTGTGTTTTATTGTTTTATCTAGTTTGATTTTATTATATCTGACATCATGGGTGGCTATTTCAAAAAAATAAGATATACTATGCCAGCCACTTTGGATTCACTATTACCTTGTTTTGAAGTCTTGTATTGTATTCATTATTTTGTTTTTATTGGTTTGATTCTGTTCTGTTTCATTTGATTTGACTATGTCTGAAGGTATGGACAGCTATTTTAGACAAAAGGCATTATGGTAATTGTTACTTTCCTACTATCTTGCTTTGAAATCCTGTGTCTCTGACACTGTCTTGTTTTGATTGGTTTTATTCTGGTTGGTTTTATTCTCTTTGAAATAAAGTTTTAAAAAGAGAAAAATATTCCATTAAATCAAACATAGGAAAAAAAGTATTTGGTGCGTACAGACTTATTCTGAAAGGCCTAGAAAATGGAGTACCAATTAACTATGAAGTTATACTCACTTATAGGTGGTGCTAAACTCCTTCAGTGTGTCCTCACTGACACCTATGGTATCCCTGAAAGGAAAAACATGAATTACCCATGAGATGAAACAGCAGACTACCAAAAGATATGCATGGGAATGACAGGGACCATCTAGACAGCTAATATGCTACTTGATCATCTTGTTCAGAAGTTGACAACCTATACACTATTGCTCGCATCCAACTTGTAATCTGTTACTATGTAGCTCATGAATCGAAAATGGCTATTAACTGTTTAATTTTGTTAAAAATAATCAAAAGGAGACTGTTAAGAAGTGTAAGAATAACGTTCAAATTTTAACATCGACAAGTTGTTTTTATCATAGCAGCCATGCTTATCCACTTACAAATTATTTATGGCTTGTTTTTCCATTGTCAGCAGAAATGAAAAGTCAGAATAAGTCTTATGACTCATGACGAATAAATTATTTAAGATAAGGCACTTTATAGACAAAAGTCCCGATTCCTGATCTAGATAAAAAATACTGCCTCAAGCTTGTTGAAATCTAAAGCTGCTTTGCTACAATTAACTTAGCTAGGAAAAATTAATTTCTGCTTTTTTTTGTCTGTTAAGCCATATTTTTTTCCATTCTAGATATGATATCCTTAATGGAATTTTACGCATAAGAGGTCTATTCTGAAAAGACCACACAAAGTGGTAAAACAAGTCTGAGAACTACATAGCGGAACCTGCTGTTCAGACTGATGATGAACAGAATCACAGAAAGACACCTCTCTTATCTCATTACAGACCTCAGTACAAAGAGCAATAGTTCCTCTTTAGAGTAATGAAGGGAGAAAAAGTTGGCTTTGGAGGTAAGTATATGATCTCTCTAGCATCCCTCTAATCTAGTACCCCATGTACTAGCTCTTAGTTATGTTCCAGCTGCCCCCATCACCCTTCCCACCCTGGCTGTGGACCCTCAGTACTTGGCTTGGATCTGCTGTTCCAGATTGTGTTGCATTCGCATTCCCAGCTCATGGAGCTGGTCCCACTGCTGGGCCAGTCCAATGGTGCTGTATTTTATGTCAAGGATCAGAGCCTCCTCCATGCTATCCCCTAGGTCAACAATCTTGTCTAGCTGACGCTTCATTGCTTGGATCTCCTTCTGCTTCCTCTGGCAAAAGACAGAGAAGAGGGTCAAACATTCAGGCCACTTGTCCCAACTGTAGAGATTAGAGAGAAGAACAAAAGCTGATGAGTTTGAGTTTCCTTTTCAGTTCTCTTTGGAGGTCTTCTTGTTCTCTATGAGAAATGGAAAACAAGAAAACCATTTCATTTATGTTTTCTTCACTTATAAAACAGTGAGAGATTTAGGTGCAAGGATCCCTGAAATTCTCATATGTTTTGCAAAATTAATTCTGATGAAAAGATGAAGAACAGTAGAGCTCTGGAGTCTCATGAATCATTATGTTTTATTAGTTTTCTATGATCTGCACTATGAATTATCTGCATCATCAATAGTGCCTGAGTTCTAAGGTTCATCTAAGTGCTCCAGTGTTCACTCATGGGACTCCTTTGTACATTCAGGCATATATGTATAGTCTGCTTCTGCCAATCAAGCACACTGTATACAAAATTTCTTCATTCTGTCTATGAGGTCTCGCCAGGAGATATTGTTTCCCAAGGATATCAGGGGTAAATTGGTGCTCTGACAGAAAGATACAGGTATGTGTGAAAAAGCTAAAATGTTATAAAACTTGCGACCCTCCAAAGATCAACTTTACCTGGTATAATGTGGAAATTAATTTTAATTAGTTATTTTTTTTCTTTGGAAAGGAGGTAATATTGAAAACATGATTGAGAAACACTGTTAAGTAAACTGCCACACTAAACTGCTGGGAGAGAATCTAGATTTTATGGTATCATCTTATTATTGCAGATAAAAAATCATTGATGTTTCTCACTGCTGCCTAGAAACTTTTGTATCTGCTGTCTTACAAAATTAATGCAGCAGTTCTGTAATATGATTTATCTCTATTTTGTGCAGAAATAGAAGTTCAGAAATTTTAAATAAATGGATAAAGTTCACATTCATGAAGTGATGTGTGGTGCAGCATGCAAATGGATGCAGGTTAGCACTACAGCCTCAGCTTTTTAACTGCAGCTGATATTGACCTAAGGACATCACCAAGTTGCCCCAAGTAGTTTTTCTTGAATTTTCTGTAATTCTAGCAATGTATTTAGCTAATGAGCAAACTTTACTTACTTTATTGGCCTCCAGTTGAGATTCCAGGGTTCCTGTTTCTTTGAGCAAAGATCTAATTAAGAAACAAAATGAAACATTATTCCTAATATTGGAGGTCATTGTGTCATACATATATGCCAAATGAAAACTCCTACTTTTGTTTCTACAAGTACTATGGTCTTCAGTTTTATTATTTTAACTTATTAGCACACTTGTATAATATAGAATGTTTACTTTCCTGTGGGAAGCTGGTCCATGCTCATGGCACATCTTAATTCCTTAATTCCCTTCTCCCTGTCCTTCCTTCCTTCCTTCTTTTGTTTGTTTGTTTGTTTCTTTCTTTCTTGGCACACATTTGTAGTATATAATGCTTACATTCATTATGTGGAGTTCTCAAAGAGGGAAGAGGATAAAGCTCTGGATGGAGGAGGGAGGGAAGGATAAGAGACTCCAAATTGGACCTGGGATGTGTTATGTAGATGGTCTTTATGAAATGTTATTTCAGAATGACAAATTTCTAGAATCAAACCTTTCGTCTTCAGCATCTTTCTAGATTTACAAAAGGGAAGTAAAACCTGTTCCATTCTTTTTCTGTCTAGAAGATGGCTTGTAGGTCTCTTGAAACTCTACTGTCCATAGTAGTCCTACTTAGAATCTATGGTTGAATTGCTCTATTAATCTTGCAAATACCAAAATAGAGGATACTCAAGTTCCTTATATAAAATGACATAGTATTTGCATAAAACCTATACACATTCCCTGTATATTTATAATAATTTCAAGGTTACTTATCTATAATATCTAATACAATGTAAATGGTAAATAAATCCTTGTCATGTATTTTTTACAATGTAAATGGTAAATAAATCCTTGTCATGTATTTTTTTAGAAAATAAAATAAATTTGTAGCGTTCCAATGCAGACATTTTTCTGAATATTCTCAATCTGTTTCTGATGGAATTCAAAGATTCAGATGCCATGGTAGCAAAAGGACAACTCTCCACACATAAGTGATGCAGGCAAACTTCCACTGACTGGAGCTTAAGGACAGACATAAATGTAACTTTCTTCTGGCAGTATCATATCGAAATGGCATAAAGATACCTCAGTAATAAGACCTCATTAACTTACGATTCTATAAAAATATAAGAAAATGAAATAATGATAGAATACTGACCCATCCAGAAAATAAGACCTGGACATGGAGAACAGGAACATGAATCAGGAAAGAGAAAAAAAAATAATTCATTAACATGGAATACTTCAATGGACCTTCCTTCATCAGATTTAAGCCCTCTGTAGTCATAAAACCATGTCCACAAATCTCAAAGTCTCACCTGCTCTGAGAAGCTCAGAGCCTTCCATGAAGCTTCAGAGAAAAGAGCATAGACTGCAAAGGATGTGTTCTTCACTAGGGGCTCCAGGACAGATATGATAAAAAGCCCACAACCACAGGCAGAAGAAGACATATTATTTATGATAATATGTTCTTTAGTTCTTTTAAAGACAAGATGCAAGGTTTCTTTTTATTCAGTCTTGCTTCTCATTAACAATGAGTTCACAACAAGAAAATATATCATGGATCATGCAGTAACCTCTATTATACTTAAAATGCCACAATTCTGATCAACTCAATGGATACACAGTCTGTTCAGCTTCTGCATCTGTCCTAATGCTTACTGTGTTCCTCCCTATATTCTTTTCCAGATCATGTACCAGTTGATGTGACAAAGGTTACCTTCGTGTACAGAATATTGTGCACCTAATAAAAGAAAATGACCTACATTATCTCACTTGATTTTTACTACAGCTTCCCTAGGTAGACTACATAATCACTTCATGTTAATTGTTGCCAGTATTTTCTGTTTCTGTAAACACATATGTGAGCAACTCAATTTATCTTCTGTTTTTTTCTGCATTTGGATGCAGAGGAAATAAGATCTGTTCTGTGCAATTTTCAGGGTTTTTCTCTGAAAATAATAAAATGAGTATGGAAGTGCTTTTGAAGTGCAATGTAGCATCAAACATAAAGGTTATTATAATTTTGAATTATAATCATAGGCAACAGAAGAAAAATTGAGAATGTGGTAAAATGGATAACAGGATGAAATTTCCACTTCCTGACTGTGGAAAGATTGATTCAGATAGACGTCTGGTCCAAATGTAAAGCACAATAAAGGTGTGGTGGATTGGAGACAGAGAATAAGCTGTGAAAGTCTCTCCACTCCCCTTCAGATATGTATGTCATTCCTGTGTCAAATGGTGCCTATGGCACAAGAGTCATGGCAGTGGAGGGTACTCAGCAAACCTGGTCTCCTGGACCCACTGAAGAAAGGCACCGGCATTCTGTTCAAACTCTTGGCACATCTCAAAATTCTTGACTTGCCTTTCCTCTTCCTTTTGCAGCTCCTGCTCTCGTTCCTAAAACCCCAAAACCACAGGGAATAAGACTCACAATGAAGGCTCTTCTTTGTCATCATGAAATTAACCTGTAGTCTCAGCTAAAAACCTTCTTAGATATGTCTTGTATTCATCATGCATGTGTCTAAGTGTTCATATTTCTTCTAGCACATCAATTCTTACTTCACAGTTGTGAGGACAGCCATGTCAACACCTGTAAGTACTTATGGGAGTATCTGAGGCCAAGTACAGAAACAAATAAACTGGTAATAAAAGAAAACATCTATTTTCTCAAGCTTGTTCCTCTGATTGGAGGAGAGGGTAGCATTTAACCTAAATGAACACATAAGCTGACCTAAGGGGAAAAGTAGTAATAATAAGGTTTGTTTTAAAAAATGGCAATATTCCAAGTTTTTTTTTATTTTTATCCTTTCACTAATCTTTGCGGGATGTTTCAAGTTTTAAATATTTAATCTGGTAGAAAGAAATTAAAGATAAACTCATAAAAGGAACTTGGGAGGAGCATCCAAAGCAACAAACATCTTGGATGGAGAGATAGACAGGGTTTGTGAATTTTTTTGTCATTACTGAACCCACGTAGTGAGCTTTTATTTAGTTCCTTGAACCATAGAAATATGGTCCTATCTACTCTGTGGGGAATGAGGTGTACATATTGACAGAGGATTATGCAGTTTTCAGTTTTTCCTAGAGAGTGTCATTTTATGACTATTTTTTGTCACAGTATAATTATGAATAGTTTTCCTTTCTATCTTAAAAGTTCCCCAACTTGGACAATGAATTAAATAGTCAGACAGCTTTAGACCACAGTCTCTGTTGCACCCACACTAATTACCTGGATGACCTCAGACAAGTGTTTCCAGACCCTTTCCAGCACCTCTACAGTTAGCCAGGTATAAGGGCTCGAAGGCACATTTAAAGCCTTAATCTTCTTGTCAAGCTGTAGCAAATATTTAAAGTCTTCTTGGCGCCTAACCATGGAGGCCACAAAGACTTCGTGGTCCTTCTGCAGCTGCCGAATCTCATTGAGGGAGACGCAGTGCACAGGCTCTGACAAGTCCTCCTCAGCATTCTCACACCAGTTGTTGAAAGCCGATGCCTTGTGTGCAAACTCCATGAACAGCTCCTCAGCCTTGAGAGAAAATAAGAAAGCATTGTTATTTTTTCTGGTAAAGCCACTCAGTAGAAGAAAAGCTTGAGCATAAAATCATAATTATATTGAAATATTTGGATGGTTAGCATTCTAAAGTGGTACAGCTAAAACCTGTGGGGACCATGGATGGACCTTAAAGTTAGAGGTACAGTTCCAATCTTAGCATTTCCTCATTATGTGAAATTAGCAAAGGATCCCATGATTCACAAAAGAAATGAGTCACTGATTTCAAAATTTATTTTGCCTGTAAGTTCTAAGAGTCTCAGGGGTTCTTTTCAATTATGTAATGTGTTATTCTAAAGTCTTCCCTCCAGTTCTATGTTGCTTATAATAAGCACGCAGAAATAGGTTTGATTATGATGTGCATCCAAAATGATTCCCACAAGACTCGTAGGTTCAGAGGTGTGGAATTTGGAAGGTGATTGGCTCATGAGGTGATGTACTGATCTGTGGATTAATCCATAGATGCTTGCAAAGCTAACTGCGCTCTTAGGAGGTGGGCTTGTCTGAAGGTTGGTCACAGGGACAAAACCTACAAGGATGTATCCTCCTCCTCAGTGTCTCCATTCTCTCTATGATTCCTGCCTGCCATGGCATAAGTATCTTTATTCTGTCAGGCCTTTATTCTGTCAGGCACTGTGTCTGTATTGGAACTAGCCAATCAGATACTATAACCATGAGTCAAAATAACATTCTCATTCTTTAATTTGTGGGTGTCCCATGTTTTTCCCTGAGACAAGAAAGTCATTAAGACAGGTATTCAATAAATACATGGAAAATGATTGAGTAAACTAGTGAGGTAGGTCTGTTTTATCCTTAATTCACTTCTTCTTTCTCTTGTCCAAATTTCTGCAGACCAAAGCCTGCTGGCATCTCTTGAGCTACACTATGTTATTTTCCTGACTTCCTTTTGAATCTTGTTCAGATCTCATTTTATGCCTGAAGCTTTTCAAACCACTCCTTTAATCTGTTTCCTTCATGATTACAACATCCATAGCATGAATCCACGTAACTCTCACTGCCTGGACCTATCCACACACTCTGAAGCACTCTACTGTGTCTACTGCAAGAGAGTAAAATCTTGGGTCATTTCAGATAACCAGAAAATGTTTTAGATTAAAAATTTATCATAGATTTTGGATCAGCAGATTGAATTTTTAGGAAGATTTGTTTGGAAAGAATTAAATAAAGGATTTTCTTCTTCCCATCAAAGGGAGATGAAAAGAAAAAAAATATTATCTACATGAAAGGAGAGTAACAAAGCTTCACAATATTATCCCTCACCTTAAGCTAATTTCACTGATATGTATGTTAAAATAAACAAATACAGAGAAAATTAACATGGTCCTCCCTTACACAGGAAGAATACAAAAGCCTACAAATAATTTCATATTACTTTCATAATATTATGGATTGATTGAATTTTTACAAATATTTTATAATCAAAAAACAAAATAACACAACCCCTTAGTAGTTTAAAAACTAAGGAAATATATAGAAAATAGAAGCAAGTTCCTCTATAGAACATAAGCATGTGTAGGTCAACTTGCCATTTTGATGGTTTTATTTTTGTTTTAAGATTTAGATTGGCACTTTATTAAAGATCCAGAATGACTGACATTTACTTGTTCATTTGTTTGTTTTCAGAATTCTCTAACTCCCTGCTTTAGCATACTACCAAAAGTTCCTTCTGCTCTGGTGTGTTCAGTAAATTCACAGGAATCCTGATTTCTTTTAACTGTTAATGTACTCTGACCAACATCCAGTACCTTAGCAGCCATCCTTAAAAAGAATATTTGATTCACCTATGTCTACATAGAACTTAGTTATTTATACTGCAATTTTAGAAGTTAATTGTTTATACTACAAACAGTTTTAGATCCATTATCTTTTAATATCAATAACACAAAAAAGCAGGTGAATGTGGCAATACTGTTCTACTTCTTAAATAGAAGCAAGGTTCAACGTTCTAAGTGACACACGCAAGGTTCCTCACCCAGGAAAGTCAATCCAAGGAAATATTAAACCAAACTTTCTGGTTATCTGTAGAGGTCTCCTTTTATGTTGCTTAGATTTAAGTACAAGACAGAATTAAACCCTTCCCGCCCTCACTGTGTCATATGCAAGGGCCTTTGACTGTCTTGTTCCATCCCCCTTTTCCACAAACATGTCTTGAATGTATTTCAATTTTTTAAAAAATTCTTCCTAACCAGACGTAGTGTTGAATCCCTGTGATCCCAGGTATTTGGGAGGGAAGTCTGAGGAGAATATTTCAAGTTTAAGACCAGCCTGGGCAAGTTATCTCTTTTAAATTAAAAAAAAAATAATAATAATAAGGTTGTGAATGAAATTTATTTGTAGAGTGGTTATTCAGCACATATAAAATCCTAATTTCAAAAGTCAAATAGTGCAAATATCAAACAAAAGAAACCTTATGAACATAAAACACATGAACTGCTTTTTGCCCAATGAGAACGCTGTCTTGACTCTTTTCAATGTCCCAGACTATCTGTAGACTTTCCGCCAAAGTTTCTAGCATCTATCTCTAAATTCCATGTCTAATATCTAGAAAACAGAGGCCACATTGTGTCTCATCATTTTCTTTCTTTCTTTCTTTCTTTTTTTCTTTCTTTCTTTCTACCTGCTGTAGAGGCAGCTGCTTCTCCAGCAGTTTCTGTCTGTGGGCTTCAGCAGCTTCCAGTAACTGCTCCCAGCGCTTCATCAGGGCAGCATGGCGCTCCTCAATGGCCTTGGCCTGGCTGTGTTGACCAGCTACCAGTTGGTCCTTGAGGTCAGTGATCTTAGAAAGTTGTTCTTGCTGGAATCTCTGAAGACTGGCATCTAGCGTGTCCTAAAAAAACAAAACAAACGGGTACAAACAAACAAACAAACAAACAAAAAAAAAACACAGAGTCTATGAACAGCAAACTAGTACAGGTCTTAAGAGTTTATTCCTAACCAGAATATGGTTCCACCATGTTTCTATCATGGGCAAGATAATGGCTAGATAAGAATTAGGATGACAACTGAGGGAAAAAAATGTAACTAAGAGACATAAGTGACTATTTGGAGTTGAATTATGCTTACTTTCTATTTTATGCATATTTTGCAACTGCAGCTTAAATTACATAGAAAATTTATATTATGGGAATATTAGAGCATGATATAATGTTCCAAAGTTTCTCAATCAAAAATGAGCTACTGTAGTAGCTCCCTTGTAGTGTAATACTTCATAAGACTTTCTTTTTTTTTACTATTCTTCATTCTAACTAGTACAGTTGCACTATTAGTATACAAAATAACAAGAACTCCTACCCACTAAAGATACTCAAATACAGTCTTTGTAAAAAAAAAAAATCAATACCATAATCACAAAACTGAGGAAGTTCCACTTAACAGTTTTAGTAGATAGGATGAATTATTCCTTTGAGATTTACTTTGACAGCTGCATAAAAGTACAAATAGAAAGTAAGAAAGGTTTGAAAGGAATCAGAATGCAACTCTAGCAGGGTTAACATTTGTGGCTTGTGTGATGCTGAGATTAAGGGTATATGATTATTTCATCAATTCGCTGATTCTTGTCAGTGTCCTAAACACAGCAATCTGAATAAGATAAAAGGGCAGAAAGATGCTGTTGAATTCACTTGTGGCTTTTGCTGTCTCTGCTGCCATGAAGGGTTTCCCGTCTGCCATGTGCTAGCCCACCTTTGAGCCAATTGATTACAGACTGAAGGCTTCATATTGTGTGAGCTAAATAAATCTTCCTGTCCTTAACTCGTGAGTTTTGATGTTTTGTCTCAGCAACAAAAGAAAAGTAACTAAGACAGGAAGCTGAAGAGCCCAAAATTTCAGGGTGTGGGACCCCGCAAGAGCCTCATTCTCTCTGCTTTTCCCATGGAAGTAAAAGCTGTGCAGGGTAAGTGGCAGAAAAGAATGTGTCCATCAGAGTCTGAGAATCCCATGGAGTTAAAGAAATAAAAATAGGCACAGTAGAGTGCTGGAGAAGCCAGTAGACACCATAAAAGGGAAATGTGAAACTTTAGGTTCAATACTGTTTTGTCTTTTCCCCTTAAGGAATTTTAGATTCCTAAACAGCCTAGGCCACAATTCTAGGAAGATATAGCAGCTGAGATTCTAAAATGCTAAGTTGGCTTTTGGTGACATCAGAGTGGCAACTTCAACTCTCATCAAATTGAAACAGCTCTGGTTGCAAGGCTATAGCTAAACCTCAGAGAGCTTTGGGGAGTATGAATAAACTTATTGCACACAAGTACATAAACAAAACAAAACAAAGTAAAATGAGCCTGAAACTGTCTTGGGTCATTGCAATCTCTGCACAGAAAGTAGGCGAGGAGAAGAGGGAAACAGGGTTAAATATAGCTTTAAAATTAAATTCATACATTAATTTCTTTTAATATTAATGGACTCATGTTTTTCCAGTAAAAATCACTAAAATAGAAAAATAAATACCCAATTTTATACACTACACAATATTTACATAAGACACATCTAACTTAAATACACAAAAGTGTAGAAATAAATCCTAAGGCATGAAATAGATATACACTACAACTATTAAAAACAAATGTTGATATGTTAATATCTGAAAAAGCAGAATTCCATGATGCAATGTTATTAGAGAAAACGAGAAACATTCTCTAAGTAAGGATATCAACTCTCAAGATGATGCTATAGATTGAAACATTTTAGACTATATCAAACTATTTAAAAATAACTATATATTTTTAAAAACATAGTTAACAAAATTTGATCAATATAAATTAGTGATAAATACATATTCTTTTAAGATGCATGCTGAATATTTATGAGAGCATATTTTCAAATCACAGAGGAATTAAACCAAATAAAACTGTGAAAAAATGAGAAAACTTTTATGTCTTTGTCAAATAGTTAACAGACTAAAAGAAATTAAACTAGGAATGTCAGAAAAAGTTAGATTAAAAATTTTATAACAAGCAGCTGCATCTTCATTTGGATGGAAACATAATTAATGTTTACATCCTTGTATATATAAGAATCACTGAATTTTGATAATTTTTCATCTTTAAAATATTAAAGACAAAAAGTAAGAACAAGTTAGTCTCAAAAGAGTAAAAGAATGAAAAAGACACAGAAATATATTGCTGTGCTTTGAATATGAGTTAAAGGTGCGCTCCAAAGATTCATGCATTTTTGTCCTCAGCATGGTGATGATGGGATGGAATCTTTAAGCTGTTAGGTCTAAGGGAAGCTCTTTGGTCCATTAGGAGATGCCCATTAGGAGAGACCAGAATCTGAGTCTCTCTCTGACTTCCTACTTGTTCTCTTCCTTCTATCCTAGTTCCTGCTATTTTCTATGGAGCCCTCATCATGCTCTAGACTTCCACCTTCAACATGTGAGCTAAATAAATATCTTTTCTTTACAAAATTGACTTCCGTCTGGTATCTGATTATTAAAAAATGGACCAACACAGACATTAATGGAACACAAATATAAACAGAAAAACCAAAAAGCAAATATTGCTTTTTAAAAACAGGAAAGCCCTTGGGGATGGAGGAAATGGGGTGGGAAAGGGGAGCAAAAAGGATCAAGATATAGCATACACTTGTACCAAATCCCTATGATGGATATATCCACTATGCATGTCAAGCACATACAGCACTATTAAAAAGACAAAAAAGGTTGGTTCTCCAAGGAAATAACAAACACTTAACAGCAATACTCATGTGAGGACACACACACACACACACACACACACACACACACACACACAGAAAGAGAGAGAGAGAGAGAGAGAGAGAGAGAGAGAGAGAGAGAAAGAGAGAGAGAGAGAGAGAGAGAGAGAGAGAGAGAGAGAGAGATGGATGGAGAGACGGAATTATAAATACTGAGAAGGGAAAAATACTAAAGACGCTTCAGGCAATAAAATCACAAAATTTAAAATGAAACAATCCTAGGGAGACCCAACATCCTTGTCTGGCACCTGAGCCATCGCAGCCTGCTCTCACCTGTTTTGCCAATGGCATGAGAAAGGCAGTGAGGTCTGCACCATTGGCTTTGGGCTTCAAACCTGCTTCTTTGTCACCTAAAAAGCAAAGAAGAGTAATGAACAGAGGAAGATACCTGGGCTTATGGGCCATGATAAATGGTAATTTACATTAGACAATTTAAAAGCCTCCTGATTCTCTCAGACTGAGAAGTAAGTGTTAGAGGCAATTCATTGGAACATGGAAGCATGCAGAAACACTGGATTGATTTTGTATCCTTATACAGGATAGAACTGACAGAAACAGATTTAGAGCCAAGACAATTTTTCACTCCATTAAAAAACAAAAGGAAAATTTCATATCAAACATAAACTGTGAGTAAATCACACACTGTAAGTTAATTCTTAGAATGATTTGTGATAGTTTTACCTTTGCAAATATTTTGCTAAATCATCAGTTCCCCCCTTCCAACATGTGTTCTGTGGAATCAGGACACTGCTAGTTCCTCTAGCAGATATTTGTGTGTGTGTGTGTGTGTGTGTGAGAGAGAGAGAGAGAGAGAGAGAGAGAGAGAGAGAGAGAGACAGAGAGACAGAGAGAGAGAGAGAGAGACAGAGAGAGAGACAGAGAGAGAGAGAGAGAGAGAGAGAGAGAGAGAGCAATTGTGTGCAGAAGGATAAGAGTAGGGAGAGTGGTTAGTAAAGAGAAAACATCTTCTCCCACTGTAAGAGAAAAAGCCTCGGGGAATGTTTTGTAAATGCAATTTGTTTACATTTCTTAATTTCAATGGCTGCTGGTCCTGACATATCTTACCTATCCAGGACTCTGCCACATCAGCTTTCCAGTTGAATTCCTGGAAGGCAAGTTCATCTTGTAATTGCAACTTCCAAGAGACTAGTGCTTTGTCCAGAGAAGGAGTCATTTCATTTAGAGTTGCAATCTTAGCAGAAATTCTCTCCTTGTTCTGACTTTCCTCCTGGAATGCCCATATTGAGGGGGAAGAAAAAAGGTAAATATACTAATGGATGCATATCCAGAGCTAGAAATCTTAATTTCCTAAGTACCATTAAGAAACTATCATCTCTTTGATCTTAAATATATAATTATTTTCTCTAGCTCTAGTGTAATTATTCTATTATCCATTCATCTCTAAAGATGTGATTTCTGTTCGAGCATTTAAAGGATCTTATGTTTGTCACATAAATGGGATTTTAGTTGGTGTAAGCTTTTCACATTTATGGTGCTACCTCTGCTTAGGAGTTTTTGTATAGCACCCAGATAAATGAGACTTTATAAGAATAACATTTAAGCAAAATAATGATTCTCAAGTCACAATAAGATTGCTCTGGAGTCTTACTTCTTGAAGACTTATGAAGAAATTTCTTCAGATTCTGATACTTCAATTTTTTTTTTTTTTTTTTTTTGGTACTGAGAATCAAACTCAAAACTTCATGCTTGCAGGTAGGCCCTGTGCTGCTGAGCTGGCTCAGATTCTTAGAATATTTCACTCCACTTTTTTTTTCCAAAGTCAGTGATAAGATATATGGCAACAAAGATGTAGACAAAGGATTTAAGGAAATTTAAATGCAACATGTTTAGAACTTTAAAAAATATACTTTCTATCAATGAACAGTTGTGTAGATATTGCATTCCTGGCAACAACAGCAACAATAAGATGCGATTTAGAAGAGCTTGTTGAAGCTCTGTATATGGTTTTAGCAGTACTCAAGAACACGACACAATATTTCAACTATGATTTTCTTTTTAATCTTTGAGCCACTGCTTTTGAAATGGAAGTGTGACCAGAAGGCCTGATGAGCTCACCTTATTCAGGATGTCTTCTCCCTGTTCACACACAGTTTGCACTCGAGTCTTGTGTACAGCAAAGTCACTAGCCAAAGCTTCGTGCTTCTTTAGTAGGTTCTGCAAAAATGAGTCAGTAAAAATCAGAAAGTCCAAGGCTGAAAACTCTGTTTCTACCCACATTCAAGCTCACTGTGATGTTATTCATAAGGGTTAGATCAGCTAAATTGGCAGACCACACGAATGTCCACTTCTTCTAGAATTTTACTAACTTCATCTCCCAAAGCTCCCTCCTTATTAAAGAGGATAACCTTACTGGAAAGAAAAAAAAAAAGGTCAAAAGATTTAAAATATGGCTATATTTAAATTACTACGTGATCTTAAGTTTTTTTTTTCAACTTTGGAAGGACAATGCTGATCCAATGGATATAAAATATTTTAAAATATAGACATTTATGTGGTTCTACATAAATCCAACATGTATTATAGTAATATGTATCAAACACATCCTAAACTAATAAGGAAGAGGAGGTAAAATGGAGCAAGAGATAAGGGGAGGGTGGAGCTGGTTTTAAATATCACTCCACATCTTATTTGCTTTTGACTACTGTCAGGAAGCACGGTGTTTGCATCAGAAAGATTGGAAAGAGAATAATGAAGCATGAGGTGCAGAGCTTCTCCATCCTTTGCTGCATGTTCTGCACAGATTTCTACAGGTGCCCTCACTGCCATCCTTATCCACTGTTGACTTTAGGCCTCTCTCTTTTCATGCAGGTGTCTCACTAATGTTTCTCCCTTATAATTTAGAAACCCAGTCTAAAGAAAGAAACAGAATTTCTGTGACTAACACACCTTTTCAAAATCACTACTTGTAAATAAAAGAATTTGTGATACATGATGCTTGGGGCATTAAGATATGACAATTACTTCTTTTAAAGCAAGATAGACTACATTATATTTAATGTTCCATTATCTTTCATACAATATAAATGGAGATTAGAAAAGTAAACTACATTAAAAGAATGAATACATGAATTAACTGTGTTTTGGGGCAGATGGCCTACACTCAATAATTTTTTTTTAATATTTTCACCTTTATCTTCTGTTTCCAAATAATATAATATGTATTACTTGCAATATAATTTTGTATTATAAGTATTGAAATATATTACATAATAATTGCAAATACTGTGTAGTATATAGCATATATTAAGAAGTAAAAGAAGAGACATTAAACTGATGCTACAAAAATAAGATCGTAAGAAAAGTATCACAACATGTATATGGCAACAAAATAAATAAACTAGAAAAATGTACAAATTCCTATGAACATGCAACCTACAAAAAAATAAGTCAAGAAAAATGTCCAAATATTTCGATAAATTGTAGATAGAACTGGAAAAAAAATCCCTCTCAATAAAGAATCCCTCAGGATCAGATGGCTTCACCAATGAAATCAAACATATATTTAAGGATTAATACGAGTTCTCATGAAACTATTTCAAAGCATTTAAAGGAAGGAACACTGCTCTATTTCATTTACAGGATTGTATTAACAATACCAAAAAAGGGAAAATCAAGGCAAGTATCCTTGATAAATATAAATGCAAAAATCCTCAACAAAATACCAACAAACGGCTTCCAATATCTTACTAAAATAAAATATAACATGATAAAAGGAGATTCATTCCTAGGATACAAGGATAGTTCAACATATACAAATCAATAAATGTGATATACTGTATTAACAGAACAAAAGACAAAACAAGTCACACATTCAACTCAACTGCTAGAAAGAAAGTGAGAAACTTTAGCTCCCTTTTGTGATAAAATATTCCTAACAAATTAGAAAGCAGATAATACCCAGTATGATGCAGTACACTGTGTATTAAAAATGAATAATTAACATCACACTCAACCGTAAAAAATTGAAAGCTTTTCCTTTATGGTAAAAATAAGGTAAAAGTATGTACCCTTCTACTTCTATTCAACGTTGTACTGGAAACCTTAGCCAGAGCAATAAATAATCTAAATCATGAAGGAAGAAATGAAATTCTTCCTATTTTCAAGTGATGTGATATTTTCCTATGAAAAATAGAACTAGTACACCAATCAGGAAAGTTATAGACAAAAATCAATTCAAAGAAGTCAACTGCATTTCTATACTACTTGAAATATTTGAAGAGGAAATTAAGAAAAGTTATTTTTATAGTTGGATTTATAATACTTGAAAATAGGCTTTTCCAGGGAGGTTAAAACTTGTACACTAACAACCACATAGCATTGATGTAAGAAATTAAAGATACAAACAAACAGAAAGATGTCTTGCATTCATGGATTAGAAGAATCAATATTATTAAAACATCCATATGACAAAAGTTCTAGATTCAATACAATCATAAAAATTCTGATGACATTTTTAACGTCTTTAATTTCATAATTTTTTTTTAAATTTTAAAATAAAAAGAATGAAAACAATTATATAGAATTACAAAACAGAGTAATAGGAGACTGATAATAGTTATTATATTGTACAATGTTATCTTTGAAGTAGTTGCTCTGATCATGAATTATATTTAGGAAAATGATCAAAGTAAGCACAAACTTCTTTTTTGATGAACTAACAGAACTAGTAATACAATACATAGTATAGATTATACTACTAATACCTAATCTTCTTCTCACCTTCCACCTATCCCAGTTGTTCTTTCTTTTTGAGTAGTTTCTTCCCCTTTCACTTTCACAACAGCTTTTGGAAATTTTGGATCTCATTTACTCTTTCACCTTGTTATACTAGGGAGACAATATGCTGCTTACACTTGTGAATCTGATTAACTTCACTTATAAGTATGGTTTCAAGTTGCATCCATTTACCCGTCAAGTTTAACACTGTCAAGTTTATTCCTTATTATAGCTGAATAATATTTCCTTCCTTTTTATCACATCCTTTTTTATCCTTTCCACAGTTGATGGGCATTTGGGTTTTTTCCAAGAGTTAGCTACTACAAATTATGCTGCTGTAAACATGGGAGCATATATATCGCTATAGTATGTAGTTTCAATTCTTCTGGAAAAACACCCAGATGGGAAATATTGTATTAAATGGGACTTCCAATCCTATTTTTTTGGCCAAATCTTTACAGTGATTTCCACAGTGATGGTACCAGTAGACAGTTTCACTAACAGGGGAAGTGCTCCTTTTTCCCCACAACCAACCAGTATTTGTTACTGTTTGATTTGTTGATAATAACCATTCTCTGGGATGAGACAGAATCTTGGTGTGGAATTAATTTGCATTTCTCAAATGTTCAGTGACGTTGAACAGTTTTTCATATATTTATTGGCCATTTGTGTTTCTTCAACTGAGAAGTGCTTATTCATCTCAGATGTCCTGTTTTGGATTTGGTCTTTGAATTTGGGGGCCTAATGTTTTTTAATGCTTTATATACTTCATATAAAAGGGGCAACTGAATAAAAATTTTCCCACTCTCTGGGTTGTCTGTTCACTCTGTTGATGATTTCTTTTGATGTGCAATCTTTTTTAATAAGATGAGATTCCAGTTGTTGATTCTTTGATGTACTTCCTGTGCAGCTTGGATTTTGTTCATTAACTTTCTGCCAATTCCTATGCATTGAAGATTTCCATCGAGCTTGTCTTCCAGTAAATTTAGTGTTTCTGTTTTAATATTTAAATCTTCGATCCATTTTGACTTTAGTTTAGTTCATGATGATAGACATGGGTCTAGCTTTAGTATTCATCATGTGAAGAGTCAAATTTTTCCAGCACCATTTATTAATCTTTCTTCCAGTGAACATGTTTGGCCCTTTTGTCAAACATAAGGTGACTGAAAGTCTTTGTAGTTGTGTCTGTTCCATTGATTTGCAGGCCTATTTTTTTTTTTTTTTTTTGCCAGTGCCATGCTTTCTTTATACAGTAGCTTTGCAGTATAATTTCCATTGAGGGATTCTGATACTTCCTTCCTTGCCTTCATTGCCATGGTCTGTCTTTGTTTTTCTATGTCTCTTCTACTACCAAGTGAGTTGTAGGAATATTTTCTCTATATCTGTGAGGTTTGCTAATGATAATATAATAAGTATTGCTTTAAATCTGTATAACAGTGTCAGTTTCTCTTAACCAAGAACAAAAGATATCCTTCCATTTTCAGAAGTACTCTTCAATCTCCTTTTTTAGGATACAATAGTTTTCAATATATAGATCATTTATTCCCTTTGTTAGATTGATTCCTTAATATTACTTTATTTGATACTATTATGAAAGGTGTTACTTCCCTAATTTCTCTCTCAGTGAGTTTGTTGTTTGTGTATAGTAATATTATTAATTTTTGAGTGCTGACTTTGTATTCAGCTATACTGCTAAATTTACTTATCAATTCTAGTAATCTTCAGGGAGTTTTGGGGGTATTCTATGTAGCATATAATGTCATCTGCAAATAATGATAATTTAACTTCTCTTCCTATATTCATTCCTTTTATTTCGCTCTCTTGTCTAATTCTTCTGTATCACATTTCCAGAACTATACTGAAGAGGAATGGTGATAGTCCACATCCTTGTCTTGTTCTTGATTGGAGTGAAAGCTTTCAGTTTTTGTCCATTTTGTTATAAAATTGGCTGTTTGTCACAGATGGCTGATCGAGATAAAGAGCATCTCTTCTGATTTTCTGTGGAGTTTTTATAATGAATGACTTGGATTTCATTAAAAGCTTTTTCTACATTAGATGATCGTGTGATTTTCTTCGGCTTTGTTGATAATGTGTACTCGGTTTATTTTTTTGCATATGTTGAATCATCTCTTCTTCCTGGAATGAATCCCATTTGGTCATGGTGTATTGTTTTCTTAATGATTTGCTGAATTCTGTTTGCTAGTAACTTATTGGGAATTTTTTCATCAATGTTCATTCGGGAGACTGTCCTGTAGTTCTTTACTTGGTTGCGTCTTTCTGTGGTTTCAATATCAGAGTAATACTTGCCTCCAGAAACAAGTCAGGGAGAATTGCTTCCCTTAACAGATACAGAAAAATCAGTTTCAAAATCCAAATAGGGTGACTGAGGTGAGTCAAAATGGAAGCTGTACTGACAGGCTGGTCGGCTGGGCAGAGAACAGCCCCTCCCTGCACTGTGAGCTGCCAGCTAAGGCCAAAGAACTCTATCGTTTGATTGACTTTGCAAGCCTTAGCGGAGTGGCTATGTAGAAGCCAACAGCAGGCAATGTAGTAACTATTCTAGATTTCCTCCTGTCTTATCACTATTTTGATTCATTTTATTGCTTTGTTTTATTCCCTTTAAAATTACAGAGAAAAAAATGAAAAAGTTAGTGGGATCCAAAATGTTCAATCAATATTGTGAAGGTCAAAAAGAAGAAAAATGTCTAAAAAGGGAAGTCATTCTTCACTTCTTATTACCTTGTTTTGAAGTCCTGTATCATTTTCATTTTTTGGTTTGGTTCAGTTTAATTCTGCTTTGTTTTGTTAGACTGTATTATATCTGATGTTATAGGCAGTTGTTTTGAAGATAAAATGAGCCATTATGATAGCCATTGTTGATTTTCTATTATCTTGTCTTCAAATCCTGTATAATTTTCATTGTTTTATTTTGATTCACTTTACTTTGTTTCATTTTGTTTGCTTTTATCCTCTTTAAAATAGAATTTAAAAAAGTAAAATCTATATGGATCCAGAAAATACTATGAATAGCCAAATTGATCCTGATAATACTAAACAAAGCAGGAAGAATCCAATCTCATGATTTAAAAACATATTGAAAAGTTGCAGCAATAAAAACAATACAGGATAGCCATAAAGATATACCACCTATTGAGCAGAAGAAATAGCTCATAAGTAAAACCATGCATATACATTCAACTAATCTTTTGAAAGTGTTAAAAATAACTAATGAAAAAAGGACAATCTCTCTAACAAACAGCTCTTTGAAAATTAAATTTTCTCTTATAAGAGAATGAAGTTGGACTCTTGTTATGGTTTAAGAACTGGTGGTAACTTAATGCTAGCTGCATTACATCAGTATGGCATTGAGTGAAGATGCTCCACCTGAGGAAAGTTGCCAGGATAAATAGGTGGAGAAGGGAGGTGTTAGAGGGTTGAGGCGTTAAGGAGGTATTGTGGGTTCTCCTACGAGTTGCTGTCTGAGCTGTTCGTTCTCCTGGAGAAGCTTGGGTCCTCACATCGAGCATTGCTTCCTGGCTCCGGAGGGGAAGACATGTACTTCTTGGTATCCAGAATGAACTCGTCACCCTGATTTCTGCCATGTACCCGACTGTGCTTGTTGTCAGAGGATTTTTCCAAATAAGAGAAGTTGGTAATTTGAAACATATGCCATTTGCATATTAAGCTTTCATTCACAAATTTAAGTCTTTCCTTGTGTCATCAAATAAAAGTAAATTAATAGCCATAGGAGTTCATGGTAACTGCTCAGCTTTTCAGGCTCTTTTACACAGTTCGGAAATTCTTAAGAACATTTTTTTTTTTTGTAGTCACACTTTCAAAAGTTGTCAAAATCTGTATTAACTCAAGATCATACTACAAACTTGTTCATTTCTTTAATGGGAAATCCAATACTCTTTTAAAAGAGTGAGACACACTAAAATTATTCTTCTTCTACGAAAGTTATACTCTGGAAACAACTGCAATCAGTGTTTATATATAAGAGGCCTCTTTCTCAAATAAATATATTATTGGGATTGGAGCAAATTTAGAAAATCTATATCCTATAAAGACTCTAGTTCCTAAGAAAAGAATTAAACCATCCTGTCTTCGGTTTATGAGACATAGATCATGAATTAAGATTTAAGTTTTGCCTTGCTTTCTGATTGTTCCTATGACTTTGTGCAAGTCAGTTATATTGCCAGACTTTGGGTTTTTTACTTTAAATATTGGCAAAATTGTCCGTATTGCATTTGTCTCTTTTTCCTACCCAGGAGAGTTATAATTTTACAGGTAAATATATTAACTGCTTAGGAAAAGATTCAAATTAAAGAGAGAAAAATGGACCCCTCCTTGCTGTACTTCACCTGAGTAGCGGTCAATGTGTCTCCAGAATCCCCTCGGGCAGCCACAGCTTCCTTTTCCCTGATCCACACTTCCTCTTCCTCCGCATCCTCCATGAACTGCAGGTATTGCTGAGATTCTTCCAGTCGAAGGCCTCTTCAGGAGGGTGGTTAGACAGGCAAGGTTAAGAAGGTGCTTATACGCAGTGGGGCTATAGCAGGACGGTTCGGTCCAAACCAAGCCCCCAATCGTTCTCACAAGGCAGCCACAGATGAACTGGGTCAGAGAATAATCTGTTATGTGCCTACTGCTGGTCAGTGATACAGATCTCCTGTGAAGCAGTTGAGATTCCTATCTTAGGAATTCAATTTGGAGCATCACTTACTCACTAAGAAATTCAATTTGGAGTATCATTTACTCACTAAGATCTCAGAGTTGGAGATTATTTGCAGTGATGTCACATGGTGTCTACATAGAGCACTGCCTTCCTTATTATATGATAAAGGTAACACAAAGCTAAAGGCGTTTTTTTTTGTTTGTTTGTTTGTTTTTTTTTTTGTTTTTTTTTTGGTACTGGAAATTGAACTCATGACCTCAAGCTTGCCAGGCAGGCGCTTGTGCTACTGAGCTAAATCCCCAGCTCCTAAAGGTTCTTTTTTCTCCCCAGGAAGAATTATCTTCCTCCTTCCAACAGATGTGGGATTCTAGAGACAAATTATCTTATATGCCATATGGATGTGTGTTTCAAATTATCCTTGTGGCTGCAAGAAAGAACAGTATGCCTCCAACTGTTTCATTACAAAGAGGTGCGTGTAACATAAAAACTGGGGCAATGGCAAAAAACCATCAGTGGATGATAATCTGGTACGCAGGACAACACATGTAAGATATAATGGTGAAAGACAGCTGCAGTTAAATGCAGGAGAAAAGCATTTCAGAATAGAGGCTGTAATCATGTCTGCCTAAGAAAAATGGGAAGCGTCATGGAGGTTTAAGTTTTGAAGCAGGGATGTGTAAGATTCAGAGGCACTTGGGGAAGGCAGATAATGCTGAAGCAGTCTCAGAAGTATCCTCCCAACAGTGGACAATCCAAAACCCAGGAAGATAACGGGGCCTTTTATCCCCTACTCACCGAGCCTTAGCCAACTCTTTAAGCTTCTCCCAGTGTTCAACAAACCGATCCATTCGCTCCTGGATCTCCTCTTGTCCCACACTGACTTTGTCTTTCAAGTTTTCTGCCATATCCAGAACATTCTGAAGAACAAATGCCCTTTGTGTCTCATTACTCCACTCTCTCTCCCCATTCAACTACAGTGCCTGGCACAGTATCTAGTGTTCCCTACTCTTTAGATCATGTCCATGGAACTTTAGATCATGTCCAGGAAACTCTGAGAGGAGAAAGAAAACGGCAGCAAGATCTATCATGCTAAACTCTCCCAGGTATGTTGGCAAATATCTCTGCACCTATATACTAGGTTATCCTTCATGATCTACTTTATAAATTACTCATGATCACATTGGGACTGCTGGTGGATCAGACTGAGACACACTTTCACCCCACAAGGCTAATACAGCTTTCTCAGTTATCCCATCCCACATTCCAATCATTACTGACTGTCCAGTCATATTAGAAGTGCTCCTTCCAGGGATAGCATGGTTTCCTGTCTAGAACCTCCTATTTAGAGCATAAAAAACAAAATATGATCAATGAACACGTGAGGTTGTGGGTAGTTCAGTCTACTTGACATGCTACTTTTCCCAATTTGTGGCGTCATCTATTTAACTAAAATACAAGGAATTTCTACTGGGTTATTTATATCTCCTCAAATCCGATATTTTATTTCTACCTGAACAGCAGGTTCATGTGCCACCAGCTCCCCCTCTAGGCGTTTGTGCTTCCTTGTTAAGTTCCGAACATTCTGGAGATCCTTGCCATAATCCTGGGAGCTCACTCTTAACAACTTCTCCCTGGAACCAAGAGGAAAAAAAAAGAGGAGACTTGGAGTCTAGACATTCGAGATCATTAGAAAGCAGCAATATTCTAAGGATATATATATATATATATATATATATATATATATATATATATGGAGAGATAGTAAGTTCTGGAACACTGTTGGCAAAACTAGAAATATAAATAGTGGCATAAACTTTCAGAAAAAAGTTCTATATTCTGCTAGTATAAGTGAAAATAACAAGCTTTTATCTACCACTGTGAAACTGTAACCATGTTCCCATTAATCCGTATAACCTATATATCTTATCTTCTTTGCTCAAGAACACAGAAATACACAGGAATTTCAAGGAATGTGAAAATTAAATGACTTCATGGCTTTTATTATTTTGTCTATTAAAATCAATAATGTCCAGCTAGAACAGATTGGAATTACTGTCATTGGAGTCATGGCAGCTTGGATGGCTCCAAGTATACAATGTTTGAATAGGGCTGAGGATTTAGCTCAGCAGCTCAGCACATGCCTGGCAAGTGCAATATCCTCAGTTCGATTTCCAGAGCAAAAAAAGAAAAAATAATAAAAATATTTGAATATTACTAAGAAGACAAAAACCAAAGAGACAATGTTTTGCTATTTTATGACTTCTGGGGACCTGAAAATGTCCTGAGTATTGCTATCTCAACTATGATTCCCTCTAACCTCCCTCATTGCTCGTAAAAATCAGTTTATTCGTAGAAGAGAAATGTGACGAGTCAGGTTAAATGAGAAGTGGGAAAACATTTTGATGTGCTAAAATTTTCCCATATTTTTGCAACAAAATAGGATTTACATAAAAACATGAGTGACACTGTAAAACATTTTCTATCTGGTGTCCACATCAGTGTCATATCAGATACACTGGAGATGGCAATAATGACAATATTCCTGACATCTGGGTAAGCTATGAGTGCCGAGCTGTCTCTGTATCACACATTCCATGAATAATGTAGGCCAGACATCTACAGCTTCTCTCCGGCAGGAGTGTGAATTGCTCCCTAGTCCATACACACTTGTCTTCCTCTTTACATCCAGTGAGGAAATTTGAAAACAAAACATTTTTTTCTTTAGACCGAGCCAAGTATAATTTAAAAGTTATATGAACTTCAAGAGATGACATTTCATTTTAGCATATATTGAAACACACCTGATTTATTTTATCTAATCTCTTGGATTATCCATTTATTGTAAGTGGGTGATACATACTCTATCCACGACTCCTCATCATCTAGGTCCCGGAAAAACTGAAACAAAGCGTAGTCCACTTTCAGTTTCTCATGGTGTGCAGCTGCCAACTCTTGGACATCCAGGAAGCGCTCATTGACATTCTTTTTTTCCTCTTCTATCTTGTCAATGTTGAAAGTTCCACTGGAGACCAGATCTTGAGCCAAATTATTCAGGGCCTCAAGTTCATCCTAGAAAGATACAGCATTCTTAGTGTATCATATACTATAAGTAATACACAAACACAAGACTTTAATCACTACTGGTTTATGTTCAAAACTCAGGCCAGGTAGATTGTTTCTGAAGATACTGAATGTGAAGATATATAGTGTTATGTGTTTATGCAGTATAATGTGTTCAGACTGGGTTAAAAATAGTAAGCAAGTTAGAGAGCATGAATACACTATTCAAACCATACATTAGTCTTATGTTTTTACCTGTATTTTCTTGATGAGCAATCAAGTTCCCAAAAAAGACAGCCTTGCTTCATGGTACTGAATTTTATAGTCACTGAATGATCAAAGTATTCAACAAGAACTATTCTATTCATACAATTTCTAGGCTGACCACTAAAAACACCCAGCCTCTTCTATGCCTATTTGCATTCAAAGCAGCCCTCCCACCTCAGTTATGTAACAGGAAGTAGCACCAAGTCATGAGGCCTTATACCTAGAAACCTTTGACTTCTTACCCTTTTGCATGTAACTGTAATAGCAAATAAAAATAGACTCTATACAAGTATGCAGTATGAATTTAACACCCAATGATATTTTTGTCATTGATCCCAAGATAAACTTTTGGTAGACATTTGGTTTCAACTGGCCCTTCAGAGATTTTCCAGAATGCATATTTACGTATTACACATATCCCAAGATAAATTTATTTTTTCCTCTAATTTTTTAAAATTAAACTTCTATTTTCTTCAAGATGCCATATCAAATATAAGCTTTGGAAAATAGTAAGTTCATAAAAGAGTAAACTTATATACATGTATCAGTAAAAAGATAAACAAGATAGCTTTCAGGGTGAACTCACCTTTCGAGTCAACATTTCTTTTTCCAGCAGCTGGTGCTTCCTGAGAAGATTTTCTGCTGAAGCCAAATCCTTGGCCTGATCTTTCATGGCCAGCAATGTCTCTGCCTGGAGATAGAGAAAGGCAATAAAATTGATAGACGAGACAATATACAGGGAGAATTACATTCAACAGCTATGACCCCAGTGATTCTCCATGACAGGTCAAGGAAATCACTCATGGATAAATTCATTTATTTTATAAGTATCTCTAAAATCCTGTGCTCCCGCCATTTCTTGGTAAACTTACCTCTGAGAGCCAGAATTGGAAGTCCTGGATGGCTGAGGTGAACCTCTGCTGGCGACTCGCTTCTTCAAGCTTCTTCCCTTTATCATCTGTTGTCTCCCGGAGAAATTTCCAGTCTTTCTCTAGGTGATCCAACTGATTCTAATTTTAAAGAAATTAGTCTCATTATGATCTTTGGGATCCTAAAATCTGTGGATAACTTAAGAAGATAATGTAAGAAATTTCTGCATATAGAAATTATGCAACCTTTCTGATATGAGGTGTGATCACAAATATGACATATATATATATATATATATATATATATATATTAAAATAATTATTGTGGTAAAAGGCACATTGCCATTACTCTTCCTCAAAATATTCTCCTTCACTTCAAATACACTTAACCCATCCTTCTAGTCAGTTTCCAAAGCAGTTCTGGAAGCCCTCTTTCATAAAGATTTTAAATTGTACAATTATATTTTAATGTTGTAAATTCATTCGAATCATTTACCTTTTAGGGTAATTTTTACTTTGGGGAAGAGACAGAAGTCCCATGGCCTAATGAATAAGGTGGATGAGGATACATTGTAATATTTTTACAAGCCACTTTTATATTGGATGGTACTCTGCAGAAGCATTCACTATGTATTTTTTAAATCACAGCTTATAAAGATACTTAACAATGAGTACTCCCAGAGCTGCTTCAGAAAGTAGCAAGTATGATAGGCAATGCGTCATTTACTGTAGCGAGCACTTAAATTGAAATATTTATCATATTTTACATTTGGAATCAGTTACATTTAATCTAGGAAGATACACAAATTTTGGATTAAAGGGAAATTTCAAAAAATTTCTGAGTGAATTACAAATTCTGTAACAAAGAACTAGGTGTGGTGGCACATGCTTGTAATCCCAGCACCCAGGAGGCTAAGACTGGTGTATTGTTGCAAGTTCGAGACCAGTGTGGGCTACAAAGTGAATTTAAGGCCAGCCTGAACTGCATAGTGAGACTCTGTCTCAAAAAGACAAAAAAAAAAAAATTTCTGGTATATAAATGCCAAAAGATTCCTAACAGAAGTAAAACAAGCAGGAGAAGCCTTGGAAATGAAGGTGACAGCTTGGGTGAAGCTCCAGAACCTCATTACCAGGGCTGTTATGTGATCTGAGCACCTTTGCTTTCTTTCTCCTTTATGAAACAACTATGGAGAAGGCTATGGACCACAGAGCATTGCTATGTTGCCTTATGACCCGTAAAGGATTTCACTTCATGCACCTTAAAATATAAACTCATTCTGAGCAGAACCTTTACCTGTACGGTCTCTTCATTGCCATCGCATGCCTTTCGCTCAATGAGGGACTTGCCAAGTTTCACAGCTTCTTCTACTTCTTCGGCTCGACCATAGACTTCATTTTCAAAGGCCTGGTGTTTCCTATATTTCCTCTGAAAGCCAAACAAAAACTACGTTACCTTTCAGTTTAGGAAAGCAAGATAAGCTTAATAATATTTCAAAGGCAGGATTAATTGTATTATCATAATCAAGATATTTATGCCTTCTGTAGGACCTGCTTGCTTCCACACTAGATTCAGAGGTCCTGAAGGTAGACACAATGACCTTAATAATAATGGTCTGGTTATATAGGAGGAGAGCATTCAACCAATACACTGGAAACAGTAAAAATTTCCAAGATTTCTATTTTGAACCTGCCTGTATGTTGCTGGGGTCTTTGTAGGATTCATCACAGGCTACGGGCACCTTCTCTTCAATCCATTCTTTCAGTTCCTCAAGATCACGATAGAATTGTCTTAGGTCAGCCAGATCCTCAAGCTTTGCTGACTCAGCGTTCAGCTGTTCTTTAAGAGCATTCCATCTGTAAGAGGGAGTCAAATCAGTATCTGTCTTCCACATTGCCTGTTGCTCTAGTAAACATACAGTTTTGTATTTCTATTTTCCAACCCACCCCATTGCTTCCATATAGTCTGTTTTCAGATATAAAGTACAAATAATTTCTAAAGCACCATGTGTGTATTTTACTCTATAACTCTAGATCAGAAAGTTTCCTAAAATTTCAAGGTAAAGAATCTATAAAAGATAAGAACTCATAGGGTCACCCACATCATACCAGCAAAGAGCCCATGTTTTCACATTTTCCTCTAACAGCAAGCCTGACCTGTCTAGCACTTTTTGGAGACGGGCGTCAATCTCTCGCTTGGCATAGTGGCCATCAGCTATAAGCTGATCAGCAAACTGCTTTAGGTTGGTGATCTTTTCTTCCTGGAGAAATTAAAACAAAACTCTCAAATGAATGGAAATTAGTCCATTGGTACAATTCCAAACACCTTCCTAAAGAAGAACAGAGATACTCTTTGAGGTTTGAGGGGAAGATCAAGGAACAAAGATTAAGTGTCTAGCAGGGAAGTGAATTTAATTCAATTTAATGTGAATGGAAACACTTAACAATTATACTGAGATGAGCTACTTGCCTGGTACTGAGCTTCCTAAAGAAGAGTTTCTTCTCATACTTATTGTAGAAGGTGAATCCAGCATTGAGTAAGCTATTATAATACACTGTATATAAAATAACTTTAATCCTAAAATTTGGACTTTAGAATGCTAGATTTAAGAAAGTCCTATTGCCACGTATGATTTAGATAAACCAGTGTCAACTGTCAATCTACTTTTCCTGCTTCAAATATGTCTATAAGAAGCAAGTGTGAATCATAATACTAATAAGTTACAAAGTCAGAAAAATGTATAAGATTTCTGTTATTATTACTAATAGCTACTTGTATTAATTATTACCTGGCTAGAGATTGCTGTTCTCAAGTCATCACGTTTCTTCTTCAAGGCCTCTAAACTGTTCAAGGAATCCTTGTCATCTGACCTCAGGGAATTCTCACGTGCCACCATCCAGCTCTCCACCTGCTCACAGTCCCCTTGGAAAAACTGGCAGATAAAATCAAAGGTAGACGATATATTTCTTCCAGGTGGACAGAGACAATAGTCCTACCCTTTCACAACACACTACAAAGGATCCTGCAAAGGGTGCTTATATCCTTCCAAGAAACATTCCTGCAATGAATCTTAGATATACTGAAACATTTTTTTCCTGAACACATATTTTATATTTTATATAAATTATACTCAATTTTAGAATCCTATTTTCCATAGCCTACAACTTTTAGATGTCTTGGCCTCTTTTTTCTCATTGCTAAGACAAAATAACTGATGTCCAAACTTAGGGAAAGAAAGATTTATTTAGCTTACAGATTTGGAAAGTTTCAGTCCATATTCATTTGGATCCAAAGGGCAACCATTCATGGTGGCCACAAGGAACAAGAGCAAACAGGGCAAGGGGAAAAAGCATGTCTCCTTCCCTCTCTTACATTTTATACAGGTCATCAAACCCTCAGCAGGTACAGAACTCACATCACCAATCCCAGCCCTAGACAATGAATCAATCACAAATGGAAGACTCTGCTTTCCTACAAAGCCCCACAGACCCCAACACCAATGACTGCATGAGGCTTTCGGGGACATCTAAACAAACCACAGTAAATGTGGACTGGGAATTTTCTTAAGCTTATGGTAAGCATTATCCATAAGGAACATAGTGACATTCCCACACTCTTTCTTCAAAAGCTGAAACCATTCCTTTCCTTCTTAGCCTGAAAGCATTTAAACATTTGTTGTACTAACAACCATTTCCTGTATTAGAAATATTTTTATTCCATGTCTAATTTCACAGCTACCATGCACAAGGCCCTAAATTCAATCCCAAGTACCATTTTAAAAAAGTAAATGATAAGTTATTATTTTATTAATCTTTTTTTGGTGTCAGGACCTGTACACAGTAGGTTCCCAAAGAAAATCAATCAGTCTCATAGTCATTCAATAAAAATTAACAATCCCCATGACCAGGACTAACCACCATCAAATTCGCCTCTTCTAAAAGTGAAAAGCATAGCAGTAGTCAGTTTAGAAGTTAAGATACATGCCAAATAATCAAGAGACATCCCTTTGTTTACAACACAGAAATTCTAGTACACTAAGCACCTGCAATAACTATATAAAAGTTCATACAAAGAAGAGACTGAGGCTAAGTTTGCTTAATTATTGGAATTTTTCTGTACCTGTAACTGTAGGCATTGGTCTAGAATCCTTTTGCGGTCTTCCCAAGCCTTCTCTAAATTATCTCTGCTTTGTTGGACAGCTTGAAGAGTTTTCTCAACTTCAAGGCTTTTCCTGTGCCCACTGTCAATAAGTTCTCTGCCAAACTCCTCTAAAGCCCAGAAGGAGGGTGCCTCTGCCTCCATTTCACTATGAAGTTCCTGTGAAGTAATATAGAAAGAGATGAGTGAGGAAAATTCTACTGAAAATGTTTAACGAAGGGATCAGTGGCTGTGGAGTTTGTAGCCATACATACCTGGTGTCGCTCCAGCAAGATTTCAGCACCAGTTAAGTCACTGGCCAGCTCCTGTGATAACACCATACTATGGATGTGCTCCATCCAGTCTTCCAGGTTGCTAGAGAAACACACATACTGGAGTTGGTAAGAAGATCTGGCAACTAGCGAGAGGGCTTCCTATAGATTTCCCCACCACAAAATATTTTCAATATAAAATTTTCTATCTAGTTTTATATAGTTTACATGTTATATTATATTTGTTGTTTTTACTGCATTACTTAATAATAGTTATCCCTTGCATTTGAAAATCTCTTCATATATGTTAACTTGCTTAATTTCTAAGGTAATTATATTGAGAATTCTGTAAGTACTTTGACTTCAATTTTTTAGATGAAGATGCTATCTCAGAGAAAGGGAGTAATATACATATAGCAATAATGATATATATATATCATTATTGCTATAGTCCTGTTCCTTTAAGTGGTCTTGGAAATTTAAAGATATATCTTATTATGGATTCTCAGGGAAGGTATATCTTTCTTTTTACTTTTATCCTCAGCACAGTCCACTACAACATTCTTTGCCTAAACAGAAACACACACACACACACACACACACACACACACACACACACACACACTACACATACTATTTGTTAAATCAGATTATGCTTCTTCATCTTTCCTTAGTAGTCAAGAAGTTAAACAAGACAAAACTAAGATCTATTCTTCCTTCCAGAGGACAGATGTTAACCATTTGTTAATTTAAAACTTATATATGATGATAAAATTAAGCACTGCATAACAATATACCTAATCTTGTTTTCTATCAAGAAATCCTAAGCTCTGGGGAAGTGATGTCTCTTTTATATACTAATTAGTTTGGTGTATTCAAGCAAGTCACATTGGGTGCCTACTAAATATAAAGCTCGTACAGAACATAGACACTAGTGGCTGTTTAAAATTTCAAAGCAAAAGCATCATAAGATAAGGTGATAGTATTCCTCAAGGTTGGGAATATTTCTGTAGTTCTATAACATTGAGAAATAAGATTTCATAAGGAGAAGGAGTCATCCTACTGGAGAATTCTGGAGTTACTGAACTGCTGGAAGAACTGTGAACAAATAAAATAATTTTGTTTATTTATTAAATTACTATTGCTTAGACATGTAATTCTAGGTGGTTCTCCAAGCAGACTGATAAGAAGGGAAGTCCAGAAAATGTGTATTTGAAAGGCAAGTCTCTGGGTTTAATATCTAGATTGGTAATAGCATGACACTGAAAATTCTGCAGGACTTGATATCAACATTTTAAACTTATTTCTTGCTGTTATTTCTACCACCCTTTATATAGAAATTCAAGCTCTAGTTCTCTCATTTCATGAACATTCTCTACTTTTCTTATCCCTGTGTTTTTGCACAGTTGCATTGCATCAGGTGTTTTAGCATCTGAACAAAAAGTATAATTTGTTCCTCTCTCCCTGGATTCCCACTATTGTTGATGTGTGTTTTTCATGTTTCTCCATCATTATCTGTATCCTTTTCTGACTCTCAGCAGAAAGAAATCCCTATGCCCAATAAATTCTGACACAGTTTCTTACATATAACATGCACTTTACAGCTTACTTAATTGGACTATGCAGCCTCATATTCCTTAAACTGTCAAGATTTTATGACTTTAAGTGTTGAACCTGACATCTACTAGTCTTACCAGAGGTAAGGCATTAACATACCAAACCCAGCAGTGAACAGCCTCTGAACCCAAAATGTTCCTAGCAGCTCTACTCCTGCCATCTGCCTGGCAGGAATCTCCGTTTCGAGCTTTACCTGGTCTTGCTGAGAAACAGGTAGAATTTATGGGCCTCATTCAGGCTCTCTTTGCGATCCTTTGTAAGCTCTTGAAGCTCATCCCAGGCCTTGTTCAGCTCTGTTCGCTGTCTCTGCAGGTCCTCAGTGGCATCTGGGTGGGACTCACTGAGCCGCTCTGATGTCTCCTCCAACAAGGTAACCTGTTAAGGGACAAGACATCTGATAGGTAGTCCCAGCACCTAAATCTCAGCAAACAAAAAGTCCACAGTCCTGGGAGTCATCTCTCCAAAGAGACACCAGTAATGTTTAATCATGCCTTCTTAATACTTCATAAAATGCTAGCAGTCTTTATTTCACATGGTAATGCTCAAGTATTCAAGGCTGAGTCAATTATTCTTTTAAGAAAAAGGAGCTGTGCTTGAAGAATGGTTAAGTAACTATGCTTGTTACTGGCAACTTCAGTTAGAAAACCCAGGCATCCTGGTTTTTCATGTGAAGTTCTTCATTTGTCTTTCACATGTAGACAAATTTTGTTCTTCTTTTTTGTTCTGCGTGACAATGTCAAATTGTATCTTCTGAGGTGTCTAGAAGGCTCCAAACTTTATTTTGGGGTTTGTTATTATCAAACTGATTTAGTTTCTGTCAGGAAACATCCATATGCTGTTTGGGCACAGGCTGGACTGTTCGGGATATGGGTAGTTCCTTTTTCTCCTAAACACTGAACTCTAACCACCTGCCCAAGTCTGACAGCTTGATTGTCATTAAACTGACAAAAGGACACAGTTTTCTCACTCAGAAGTCCAAGAGTTTAGTGGTCATGGGAGTTATACCCTTTTAGTGGTCTTGCTTCAGGGTTACAGATAAGAAAAAAATATGGTACAATATAAAGTAATACATAAAAATGAGGAGACTGGCAAAGAGAAGAGGTGCTGGTGTGGTATAACAGTGAAGAGGAAGGTACTAATGCAGCTTGGAAATACATGTCTCACCTTCTCCCCAAGGGGGATGAGGTCTCTCTCAAAGACCTCATGCTGGCGAAGAAGGGCCTGGACACTGAGCAGGTCTGAACCAGGGTCAGCAACCTTGAGGGCCTGGCATTTCTTCTCAATCTGCTCTTTTGTGTCATCTGCTTCTCTGATGAGAGAATACAAAGCTTAGTGGTAGTGATGTGTATCAGAGGCAGACCAGCTGGGCTCACAAGGAACTCACTGCCACTTCCACCTCTATACCACTCTCACTATCTTTTATTACTCTGAGACACCTTTAATCTTTAAAATTTACCATGTCCATTATACATTTCAGAATACTGGAGCTCAAAGAAGGTAAATATTTCTCTAGGTGATTCCTCTTCCAAAGAGTAGAAAGAAACTTTAATCCAAGTGACCCAACATCAGTGTTACATGTTTAAGCATCGCCTTATGGAACTTTCTATTTTCAGCTTGTTCAAGTACTGCAACTCATCTATTTTCCTCCCTACATCTTTAAAATTTAAGCAAGGAAACTTTTAAGTTTCCGTTTTTATATTTTTGCTTGTTTACTTATTTGCATGCATATTTCTGTTTCTTAGTGTAGGCATCAGTTTTTGAATGATATCTAGAAAGATATAAAATGAACAGCCAGACTCTCTGTGATATGTGTTACTTTTTATTGACTGGTTTTAGTTCAGAAATATAATGAATTACAATTCCTATTTATAATTCAAGCTTGATTCACTTAATTACATCCATTGCTTGAGCCAGGCATTAGAATGCTGAAGTTTGTTGTCAGTGTGTGTACAATGTGCAAGTGAGGGGTTGTTGCTGAAAAAGTTGATCTTCATGAGCATAATTGTCACTGAGTTCAGAAGAAGGGTTAAACTTAGAGTTGTGGTTCTGCCATAGTAGCTAGACTTGTGAATTCTGTGTGTGAGTACTAGACTAGCACCAATTTTTGCCCTTGAATCCTTACCTGTGGAACACCTGGACAGCATGGGCGCTGCTGAGCAGTTGCTGCTGTTCATCTGCAAGCCTCTGCAAGGAATTCCAGCGGGTATTCAACTCCTGAAAGAAACAGATGCATTTTAGACAGAAAGCCAGATTGGATGGCCCAATTGTACCTATGACTATCTGGAATTTAAATGATTTCTTTCGTGTCATTTTCTTGAGACATTGGTTAACCTTTCTTTCTTGGACAGCCTGATCTGGGACAACTTTTATGCAAAAAGAGGTTTATTTTCTTCCTTAAATGATGTTCCAGAGTAGAATCAAATCATTTGCCTTGGGGCAATAAACAGCATTTACCATATCAGCTTTATTAATTTAACAGAAAGACCATTACTCTGAAAATGTTAAGAAGTATTTCTTTCCAAGTTACGAGCTGGCACATTCCTCTAGGGAAAGCACAGTAACTTTCCACATTCTGAATTGAATGGAAGTAGTGCTCTCTTACAGCCTGACTTGCTATAGGGAGTAAGTACATTGTTTTCATGCGTATTCCTCCCCTTTCCTGTCCAGGGACAATCACCAAAGAAAGACAAAGGAACTCTTCCTCATTTACTTATGAAAATTGACAAGAGGACTTTTCTTTTCATTAAAGTCTATTTTATAAAATAGCATCATAGCTCCAGATAAAAGTAAAGTGAAGGATTCCCTCTCTCCAATTCTTGTTATTTCTTATTTTTAGTTCTCCTCATTATGCTTATTAGAACCTATCTCTTTTAGCATCTAGATTAAGCTCTTCCTGCTGTCATAATTGTTTGATTGGCATTTCTTCACTTCTTTATTTTTCCGCATTTCAAGCATTTGAGCACTGGATAGTGTGGTGGTGATAAGGACACGAGTACATGTTGTAATGAAAATATTTCAGGTCATTTCAAGTTTATGGGTTCTAAATTTATAAACCAAGTGCTTTGGAGGAAGGCCTTCCCCCTCACAAAAATACCTATGTGAGAACATAGAGTATGCTCCATAAATGTTAATAAATAATCCTGCTTCTCATTTAGACAATAAAGTAGAATTAATTTAAATCTGAATTATGTTTATTTAGGCAATAAAAATCGCTCTACTATTTGGACTACTGTTCTTGACCATTTCTATAGTCAGCTTCAAACTGCCGTTACCTTATGCATATCCCAATGAATATGAGCATACAAAACTGAGTGTATCAAAGCAAAAGAAGGACTCCGAAGTTCCCCTGGTATTGAGAAGACATGTAGGACCCTTCATTACCTGCCGAATGTGAGCACCTTCTGGTGTCAGAAGTTTTTCAAACAGCAGCTCATCAGCTACCTTGTTGATTTCATTTAGCCGAGGCTTATTGGTCTTCAAATCCTGGATAAAAAACATCATTCAAAGTACAATAAATCCTGTTCTCAAAAATCTTCCGTATTTATCTGTCATCTTAGTTTGCATTTAACTAATTATTATTAAAACATATTGCTAGCCTCACTTGCAGTATGCAAGCAGTTTTCTTATTTGCCAATGGAAAAGTACATTTAACCACAATACTTAGTGGCCACCTAAAATCTTCCAAGAAAACTGTTATATATCTGGAGTATGTAGCATGTTCATCTTCTTGGGTTTCTTAAAATCTTGCCCTGAATTAATTTATACTATCAGAGGGGTCTATGCCTGAGCTGATCATTTTAACTCACTACAAAGTTCACTGACTGATTATAACTTGTCTACATTACCAGATGTTGGAAGAAAAGTCCCTCTGTCTCTGAAGAGTAAGAGAGATGGAACTCCTTAAATCAAGAGATTATATATAAAAGAGAGTGAGATTGTATATGTAAATATAATTTTAAGTATAATATTTGTATATATAACGTTGCATGTAACTATATATAATTTTATACATTATATATATATATATATATATATATATATAATTCCATATAGAGAATGTAATAAAATAAAGAAAGAAAGAAATTTACCCTGTGCTAATTAAGATAATGGCATAGTTGTCAAAGAAGAAAGGATGATGAAAGTTTTTATATAGAAAAAACAGATGGTAAAGTGGTATTGTTTCCACCACAACCTCTATTTCTAAATTCTGAAATACAATCCCAGAACTTTCCATGCCAACCTGGACATTAGGTACAGGGCATCTTACAGGTCAAGCTTTGGGGCATCTGGGTAGACTAGGATTTTGGAGCAACAGGGACTGCAGGCAGACAAGTTAGGGTCCTAATTTCCTCTGCATTTGTTTTCCAGGTATTGACAGCCACAGTCCCCAGAGAAAGATCTTGGCTGTGAAGCTGTCAGTAGTTTTTTGGAAAGATAATTAATGACTAAAAGCTAAACTGTAAATATCACACTGGAGGAGACATGCTATAAAAGAAGACAATGACAACACTCAAAATATTTTGTAGAAAAGTTTTCCCTTTCTCACCCTGTGAAACTCATCGCATTTTTTCTGCAGCTCCCAGACATCATCTAGTTGAATGCCTGTGTTTTCTGCCTTTTTCTCTTGGATCCACTCCAGCATATCTCCTGCCTCATAAGCTAGCCGAAACTCATTGTAACGTTGCAGTAGTCGACGTCTGCGCTCTTCTGCTCGATCAAGGAGGGAGCGGTACCTGGGCAGAAATAGGAAGCATAGGTTAGAAAATAGAGAAAATACAGAGCATGGGTAAGGTAAAAGAAGTGGAGGGAGACAAAAAGGAAAGGAAGAAAAATGTTTAAAAGAAATGTAAAGGAGAGGGAGAAATGAATTGTAAGTAAAAGCTCATTAGGAGCAGAAAGGCATAGTAGTACATTTAAAAATAATAAAAATTTCAATGCTTTAACAATATGGCTGGAACCACGTTTGTCCATTGAGTAAAGTTTTTCTGTAATCTGACAGTGAAGGAAGTTCTTAGGGATGGCAGAAGATGTTCTGATACCCTTGAAAGAAGGCAGGGCAGGGGAATCAGAAAGATAGTATCTCAAGAAACTAGCTTCATGGCTATGCAGTTCCCTTTCTTCACATCAAACTTTAATGTTTGAAAATCCTAAGTTTGCTTCCACTCCTTAAAATCTGTGAATTTTCAGCCCTAATTGACAGGGACAGAGTCATGAATAGGAACCCTCAATCAATAGGAAATATTTGGTGGAATACAGTCCAGTTCTCAGCCCCTAGAGCTTACAGGTGTTCAATCTGCTCCTGGCGCTGGGCAATGTGGCCGGGCTCTTCTCGTCGCCTCTGTGGGAGCATCGGGAGCTCATCGGGGGCCAGTTTCCTTACATGGTTCGATGGGATAAAGCCCTGGTGATCATCAGCTTCAACCTTCCACCAGTCCTGAAATGAAAGCAGGTTCCCTAATTTCTGGAAAATTCACAAGCAGGAAGATTTTTTTTTTCCTTTTTTTTTTTTAAACTAATCTAAATCCCTAGGCACAGACACACTAGTCGCCACAAAAGTTAACCATTGCTTACAGAGTCAGTGAATCCCACATAAAGCTTGAGTTGTGGGGATTGTAGAGGCAAGACCTTGAAATCGACTAGTTTGATGTCAGATATGTAAATATAGAGGAGGGATTTTAAACCTCAAAGACAGTTATCCTAAAGATACCCTTTGCTTACCTACAACTCAACTGGGTTTCTTGCAGGTAGGACATCCGTGCATGGCAATACTGGACAATTTTCCCTCCATACCTTACTTGAAGAGATGCTAAACACTTAACTGCTCTGAAATTCATTACTGTAAATACTTTTTTTTGGAGTGCTATTTGGGTAAGCATTTTACAGTTAATTTCTTTAAGGGATTGTGAGATAAAGCAAGAGGACTGGACAAAAAGAAAGAGGAGTATCACACAACAGATTTGGTAAAGTGACAATGTGCTTCTCTAAAGCAATCAGTTACCTTCAGAGAAACTGTATCCCAAATTCTTTACTTCCTAAGAAATCTGTAGAGACTAAGTTGGTGTTACAAAGAAAAAATATTATTTTTATGAAAAACGCATTAAAAACTCTAAGCAGTATTTTGTTATAGTTTTCTTGGGTATAAAACCTAAAGAAAGCCAATTTGATAAAAGATTGGCCTCTTAGCAGGCTCCTTCTACTCTGGTCATTGTCATTCCATCACTGGGAGGAGTGCCACAAAGCAGAAACAAGCGGTGGTGAGAAGTAAGGAGCAATCATACCTTACTTCTTTGACTCATTTCTTTAACTGTAAAATCAGGATTATAATTCCAAAAGGTATGCAAAGATCATGTGTAATAGCTGGAGAAAATATCCTACTTAACAAATTATAATCCATTAAGAGATTAAAGACATGAAAAATGATACATAGTCAAAGGATGACTACCTAGCAGGTCAGGGGAGACAGCTGTGGAAGAATCATTTTTCTGATGAAAGCACAGTTAGAGAAGTCACCTTATTGATGGAACTAAGCAGAGTTAAGATGTCATTCTTTTTCATGGTGACTTCTCGCGGGCTACGGGCCTGGAAATCATATAAAGCCAGAACTCTCACTTCTTGAGCAGCATCCCCCACTGGTGCAGCCTGTTGTTGCTGAAAAACAAAATCAAACAAAAAGCAGATGAAAATTACCCACTGGAAATAGTTCCGCAAGGATCCTGCCCATGGTGGGCAGCCCTAGAGCCTCTGGAGAGGGAGAAGCCTCTGAGGGAACCTCTATCATGGCTGACAGAGGAAAATAAATTAGAAACACAAGCTTCAGTATCTCATGATTTCTCTCATACACAAAACACAGAATATAAATAAAAAACAAATAAAAGATAAGAAGGGAGAACGGTTTCAAATGAGAAGAGGATCAAGAGATGGAAGGTGAAGGGAAAGGAAAGAAATGGGATAAAAAATATTTGAAAGATAATGGAAAAGAATTTCTGCAAAGAGGTGGGGGATCAAAAATTGGAAAAAACAGGGAGGGACAGGAGGAGTGAGGAGAAAAGGGATCATCAGGATGTGTCATGTAGATCAACTCCCTATGGTAAGTGTAATCACTACATACTGCAAATATGGACAAATAAATAAATAAATATCTACAGGCCAAAAATAAAAAGTGGTGACAATAAGTGGTTTTCAGTGGTACTGATGTACTGTCACATGTATCATGGGTACTGGCAGTTAGGAGATATGAACACAGAGTGAACAAGCAAATATGCAGTTTGCCAGAAATGTTAAATGCTCTAAGCCAGTCTACTTGAGGTGCCAGGAGTAATGTTTCTCTAAGAAGGTCGGAAGAGATTATACATATCAGAATTTCAGAAAACTGTTACAGTGAAAGGTTCGCTGTGGTCCCTACCTTCCCATTCCCCTGGGCCTCTACTAATATTCTTCCATCCTGGCTGGTTTTTAAGTTGTTCTTGCAAAGAACTGTGTACCTCATATGGTATTTTAGGGATCGATAATCTACAGCAAAGCCTAAGGGTAAGCCCTAAAAATTTTAAAACTGAGAACATAAACTATATTAATAACATCTTTTGTCTCACTTTTAATAATCAACCTTCTGTCCAAGGGAGAGTTTTCTCTGAGTTTTATTTTCTGCAAATATCCTATCTCTGGATGAATGAGCAAACCATAACCCTTTTTTCCTTAAGCAATCACCCACACTACTTTTTAGATTGGCACTGAAGATAGACCTTACCTTATACATCCTTAGATTTAACATCTTTCAATCACTGCTTTCTTTCCAATATGTAAAACATAAGTCTGCCTGTTTTCCTATCTACCCACTGTGGATAGCCTGTCAAAGGATGCAGAGTCGTAGCCAGGAGCACTATAAATGCATGTTGGCTTGACATACTGAGCCTATATTTTCTCTTTAGTTCACATTACATAAATTCTGTCCTTCTCTTTAGAAAGAATCCTTGAATGTAAGATCTCATCTCTTTTTTCTTTTCCCTTTACGTACAGTAAACAATTTTATATGATTCATTTGATTCCAGTTTCATCACTCTTAATAACACTCCCTTCTACGCTGTGGTCTAGATGACTCCACATTCTAAAGAACTTAATTTCCAATTTCCCAAATATACTTGCTTGTTTTATGCTTCACATGCATCATGGACTAGAAAAAGTTTTCCTTTGCATCCACACAGAAGGACTTAAGCAAAAAAGAACTCAAGACAAAATCATTTCTCTTAGTTATGGAATATTTTGTTTTCCAACATTATTACTTCAAGGAAACAGAAGATTCCTTCTATGGTAATTTTTTGTTATTGTTCAAACATGTATTATATACACTAACTGTTTAAATTTCTGGTTCCTGAATTAAGTGCAATTTTCATGCAAGTCAAAATTATTTTTAATCATGCCTGCATATGGTAGACAATTCATAAGCGTTAGTAAGCATTAAAAGACTAAACAATGAAGGAAGAAAATAAAAAGATTAAAAAGAAACCAGAATACAGGAAGAAAGGGAAAGAGACTGAGAAGGAAGGAGGGGAGACAAGATATAAAAGAACAAAGAGAAAACCCAAAACAGACATCAATGTTAATGATAATGTTAACAGAATGTTTCTTTTGAATTAAATCTCTGTTGACGCGATAAAGATGTTGTAGTTCCTGACTAAAAGATTATAAATCTTAGTATTTTCCCAGCAACGATTATCTGGCTTTCAAGAAGTAACAATTAGTCAATAAAGAAAATTCCTTTTCTTCTGTGGCAAAGAATGGAATTCCTGTCACTGTTAGATCCTTATTACCTGGCAGGCTTCTGCTTGATCCTTTAACGCCCTCATACTGTCTCCAAACACATTGAGATCCGTCAGGAAGGCCTCATGCTTCTTGAGAAGAGCCTGCATTTATGGATAAGAAGGTAATCAGAAAAAATGCAGCAGGAATAACCAACACACCAGCTGGATGCTTCAACCACTATTATTTTGGTTTATACTGATTGTCTTAATTCTGCTGAAAGCTACTTTCCTTACATTTTTTTCTTTAATCCTATAATTGCAACATTCTCAAAATTCAAGTTAATAAACAAACAACATTTCAATATACCTGCTGAAGTCTAGATTAGCTCAAATTTGAACACATTTAACCAATACACATCATACCTAAAAGAAGATCCTATTGGTAATGTTACATTGTAGGATAAATATTAACATAACTTTAAATGAACAAACCCATTACTTCTAGTGCCTAAAGTTTCTAAAATACTGTACATAGTACCCATATGACAATGAACAGAATAAAGAAATGGATATAAAATGTAATTGTGATATTTGAGGTTCTCCTTGCCCCAACATATCTATCTGGTAATATGTCCATTAAAATTTAAAATGTCTATATATTAAAATGATGGCTGCTTTATGAAAGTCCACATTTACTCTGAGAAGTCCAGAATGGGATGCAGATAACCATGGATTTTGGTCATGCCTTTTGGGTTTAGATTCTAGAGAATAAAGGTATTTTTTGGTATTAAAAATGCAGTACACTTTTGGGACTCCCTGTTAACTCTGAGCATATTCCAGAAGATGAAAGCCAGGGGCAATCACTGTAGAATCCCTAAATAACCCGGAGGAAGATGTAGCTATCTCATAATCTGCACAAATTTCAATAATTTAGAAGCTTTTGGTGCGTATTCACTAGAAATAGTACATCACCCCAGCTGCTTCTTCATCAGCCCCATAGTTAGTGTTGTCCACAATTGGCTCCTTCTCTCGAATCCATGATTCTGCTTCATGCAGGTCAGCCAGGTACTGCTGGAAATTGACATTAGCCTCAAGGTTATCTTGCCGCCTCTTAGCTCGAGCACAGAGAGACGCCATGTTCTTGTTCAGACTCTCGACCCTTGAGGCTATGTCCTCTGCAGCAAAATGTCCTGTACCATAGATGAAAAACAAATGAGTTGTATAGAAATAACTTGACCATCTCGACCTTTTGTTTTTCCAGGACAGCTAAAGGGGGTGTGCTTCTACCAACAGCCATCACTCCCCCACTTCCCTTCCCTTTACCCGCCCCCCCCAAGGTCTCCTGAGGATAGACTGGGATACCTTGCCCCAGTGGCCTCCTACAACTCCTAAGGTTACTTCTCAGCTACCCTGAAAAATGTAACTTGCTTGACATCCAGTTCCTGCCAATTCCGTTGCTGATGCCACTTCTATGAGGAGTATCTGGGAAACTGCCTCTAATGAAGTAGATATCAAGGATGGATCTGGGCTCAGGATTAGCATCCCTAAAACCCCAAACCCCAATAAGCTGTAACTGACATGGTAGCTCTCTTTCAGACTCCTTCAAAGTGGAAGTGGTCTGAGTTTAAGTTCTCCAGTTTACAGAGACAGGATGGTGGTCGTACTGCTGTTTTTCCTGATACACCCCAAAACTGTAGCAAGGAGAGATGCAGCTCTCTATGTTCCTACACCAGCTTCAGGAGGTGTCCACCCTCACTGCAGTAGATGAGTCTGCCTCTTCTGTTGCTTAAAAAGTAAGGAGCAAAAAAACACCAAGAATTGCTATTCCTGAAGAGCTCCAGAAACAGACAGCAAATACTAGTAGCCAACAGAGATCAATGGAGATAAGTAGCAGATACCAGGAGTTGCTATGGGCTTGCACAATTAGTGTTGACCATAGTGATCGGCAACAGAGATCAATGGAACCCTGCTAAGTGGGGTTATGGATAGCCCTCTAAGGTTAGCTCAGCTACTATGGAGCTCACAAGGGGTGACCTAGAGCTCAGAATTAAGACACTAAGGATCCACAATTACAAGAATTCTGTTCCCTAGAGGGCTGAGGACCATTGTAACTCTGGATTGTACGCTATTAGCAGAGTTATATTTTCTTCAGTTTGTGATTTTTATTAAAATTGAGCAAACGAACTGTTTACTAACTGGAAAGAAGTTGAATATGATCCTCATTAATGCCCTGTAGGATATATATATATATATATATATATATATATATATATATTTTTTTTTTTTTGTAACCTGGGAAAAGAAAGGGAACTCTTGGAATGGTGTTACATTTAGCTAAAGTCACAATTTGCTTTCATTTTTGAAAGAAAAAAAACTTTGGTGCATTTTAGGTACACATAATGATCACATTCATCATAGGAATTTTGTACTTGTACATGATATAAAGAGATTCTTTTTTTCCTATTCCCCTACTCTCTCTTCAACTCTTTTTCCCCTCTTCATTTACAAAAGTTTTGTAACATTCTCTCTCTCTCTGTCTGTCTTTCTCTCTCTTTCTTTCTGTTTTTACTTCTGCCAGCCTTCCTTCTCCTCAACTCTCCCTTGTTCCCCTTCCCATTTGAACATTTTCTTAACTTCTCTGAGAATTAGAATTTTCTACCTGAGAACAAACAGCAACAGGTGTTAATGTGGGGCAAACGAGTATATGTGATGGTGCGTGGGTTAGTGTAGTCTAAGAAATGCAGACCAGAAAATGAGACTAGTGTGGCTTATGCTCAGGTATCAAAGGCATGTATTCTCTAGAATAAATCATAAAATCGGTAGATTTCTGATATTTAGAAATTTATTAAAATAATTGATATTCCATCCTAAACAGCTAGATAAGAGGACAGACACTAAGATATAATTGACTTCAGAAAAGTAAAAAGTAGGAATGACATAAGTAATATCTTATAATCGCTATAGGGCATGTCCTGCACAGTTTTTGGATGCAGTGCTAGAAGTGTTAACTCAAAAAGTATGCAGTCTTCTCAACTCAAGCTTTGAGCTGAGGAGACAAAGATCAGAGCTTGAGAAACACAAGACAACTAGAATTTGGGAGGTGAGGTACTAAATGGGAGGGTGCCACACTGATGGAGAGTCAAGAGCTACACCCAAAAATCCCCTGGGATATCTGATTCATTACTCATACCTAAGGAAACTCATAGATGATGAGGAAAGGACACCTTGAGGACAATGGCCAGGGAATTCTCGGGCTCACAATAAACTGGAAATCATTAAAACACTCACACAAAAAGTTAGAGGGATACTGTAACACATGAAGCAGCGTCTTTGGAAAGGTCATATCTTAGGATTTTGACAGTCTCTAAATCATTCCCATAATAAACTCAGCTCTGGAAGTACCATGACTGAGTAGAACCAAGAATTTCAAAGATTGCCATGCCAAAAAAATAAAGAAACCACCTTCAGGGGCTGGAAAGAGAAACAAGAGGCCAATCCATCCCTCCCATGAGTCATCTGGGACAGAGAAAGGTGATTTGAATCATACATTCCATACCTTCCTCTACCATTGCGTTTCCCCTGTCTGTTATCACTCTGATGCGTGGCTCATGGTTGGCAATGTCTGCCAGGATGACTTGATGCCTGTTCAGAAGTTTCTTGGCTACAACCAAGTCCTTGCCTACAGAGAAAGAATTTCAAGATTTGAGATTATTTTAAGGGATAGAAGTAGCTTACAAAAGTGTTTCATCTGTTGCCTAACATTAATATTAGTCAGTGAGTAAGACTACTGTGAATTTCTCAAGCATCTAAAATCTCCAGTTCTTTGTGCCTGCCTTACCCTGCCTATTTTCTAACCATGCTTTTCCTCACTTCCATTGAAACCTTCTTTCCCCATATTTGCCATTCAAAGTACCTTTCAAGGAATTCTCTGTTTTTCTAATAAAAGGCATTGAAATTACTTGTATTTACTACAAGATTTTCTGCAAAGTTTCTACAGACTAGCCCCTTATTCTTACTGTACAGTCCTACAAATAGTCCCCAATAAATGGGCACAGTACTGCACTATATTGATTACCACTTTCTTTGGGTTACTTCAATATAAGTGTCCTGGTGTTGACATTTGCAAACTAATAGTTTCCAAAGATTAAACAATAGTATTATATCTGCTACTTCCTCTTTGTGATAGCTCATATAGTTATAAATGGGACGGCTAATAAGTTAGATGAGAATACTTAGTGTGAATACACTTGGGGAGGAACCATGGCTGTTCAATTAAGAAGTCTCACAATAATTTAGGTTTCAAGAAAAGCAGAAAAAATTAAACCCTAGATATTCTAAGAAACAACAAATTCATACCATTGTTCATATTCAGTTTTAAGAGATGAATTTGTTGGCAAGATTAAAACTATATAAAAATGTATAGCTGTCTGGACAAATTTTCATGCATATTCTGGAGAAAAGTTGGGAGTGAACTTTTAACTCCCTTCACTGCTCAAGCACCGATCTCTCAAACATTTATCTGCAGACTTTGATCTTCTCCTTGTGGATCAGCCCACTCAGACTGCACTGACCAAGCTGGGTGGAAGCCGCTGAGGGTTCAGTCTCTTGGATCCAGGCCTCCTCATCCTCTGAGTCTCTGCATATCTGCTGCAGACGGAGTAAATCAATGAGCTTCTTCTTCCGGGTAGCCAGTGGCTCCTTTAGAGCTTCAAACCGGGACAGCAAGGACTCCTGCTTTGCTCGCATGTCTGCAGAATCAGGATGGCTTATTTCTTCAAAATGAGCAACTGTGTCTTTTAGGGTGTCCACTTGATCCTGATGGAAAAACAGAAATTGTGTCAGGAAATACTATCATTTAGTAGAAAGAGCCTGGAATTTTGGGGGATGTAAGGTGGTAATATTGGCACCACTGCCTGCTATCATGCTGGGGTAGCAAATTAGAGAAATAGAGCGGGTGACGTTGTTATACAACGCTCACATCATCAAGGTAAGAACTTTTCTATTAAAAAACAAAAGCTGTAGAATGACTTTCAGAAAGGACAAAATGCTCCAAGGAAATCAGAGGCAGACCAGAACGACTGTGTATGTTGTAGGTGTTGATAAACTATAGACCCAAGGAAGACAGTGAGAGGTTTTTTCCACCTGTGTTAACATATTCTTTTTCTCTTGAATGAAGTATACTTGCAAGTGAAAACCAAACCTTCTGAAGGTTAAGTTTGTTGTGTAAAAATAACAAAGACTACAAGACAAAATGTGCTGCTACATAAACAAAAGTTAGAATCTTAGAGAGATGCAGTGACATTTCCTTAGCCACAGGACAGCTGTCCCCATTTGGGTCATGTCTGAAATAGGAGAGGCACTGAAATAGGGTGTTGATCTTGCCATAAATACAAAATTCTAATGCTATTCTTTATTAAAATAGATAAGAAAGGAATTCCAGCTTTATTAGTGAGATCAGCAATACATATAGTCTAGTGAAAACATAGTAACCAGCACTACTGTTTTTCCATTTTTTTTTTTTTTGGTTTGCTTGTTTGTTTTTGAGGAGGAGGATATCATTCATAAAGAAAGTCTTCAAGAAATAGAGGAAGATCAGCTATTAGTTTTATTTTTCTATCCTGTCATCCAGTATTCAAAGTATAAATAATTTGAGCTCTGCCTCTTCACTTTGAAACAAAAACATTAGCCATCGATGATTCTTAAATCCTACACTCATTTCTATATAAGAATTAAAGGCTACTGAAAAAACTGAAATTAAGATCTCCCACTAGCTAAGTTTCGTCATTTCTTAGGACCTGGACAACATCCAAAGAGAGCAATTTTCAAACATCGACATCACTATGTACTCACAGTGTACTCTTTGAAAACCCCTAATGCCATGCAAGATGCCCCAGGATAGGTAGAGAGGAGATTTGGCATTTATTTTTGGATTCTAACCAATCAAAATTTGATTTTGGGAAAGATTGTCCATTTATTTTGTTCTTAGTTTACCACTAATATAATAAAGACATTAGAATAAAATTACTAAATATATTTTTCAACTTTAGTATTCCACATCTATAATTTACTTTGCCAGTGGCATTTCTTAGCCTCTACGATTCGTTGGAAAAGCAATTCCTGGTGATAAGCCACTCTAAGTTTCCCAGTGGGGTTGCATACACTTATCTTAAGTATTAAAAAGCAAAAACTTTTTGTAAAGAAAGTGAAAAGAAACAAACCCTCTTCTCTCTTGAAACTCGATTTCAAAGTAACTCTATGTAGATTTCAAAGTCATTTGTATGATTACCCAATCTCTAGCTTTTTACTTTATTTAAAACCTCACTGAGCCATTTTTAAAGCTACATAGCAGAGTTTTAATTTTATGCTTTCTAAAATACCCTGTCTTTCCTATTTAATTTAGAGTAACCAAAGATCAGACATTTTAAATAATGTATTCTAAAAGTGAAGATCTAGAAATAGCAGAATCAAATTTTAAAAACCCAACTTCCTTAAGATAGGAAATCAAGACACCTGAAAGTGGATTTCATTGAAATCTTCTCAAACTTTCCACATCCATGCTATGGATACTTGCTGAATATGTTTATTTTAAATAGAAGTCTGGAGGAATATTTGGAGCAATAATCCAGAAACTAGCAACTCAGAAATCTGTATCATATTCCTGGCCCCATAGTCAATTTTCCACATGACACAAAAAATCACTTTATATCTATGAATTTAATTTTCTAACTAAAAAGTTTTGATGGCATAGACTAAAGTTTCAGACTTTGAATACTAGAATCAAAATGGGAAAAATGTCATTCAATATGCTTGCTTTATAGATGGTGATATTTAAACAACTGGAAGTGAAATAATCTCTCAAAGATCACACAACTAGTAAGTGTTTGACTGTCTATCAAACAACTGGAAAGAGGAGTAATGGAAAAAAGGTAGACATGACCAAAGTATGTTATATGCATGTAAAAATATGCTAAAATGAAATCTAGCATTTTATATAATATGCAATAATAAAAATTGTTTTAAAAATCTGGGTTTCTGGAGGTGAGAGCAGTATTTTTGTTTAGAAGAGTCAATAAAGTCTCACACCAAGAATTCTAAGGAAAGTCTAGAAAGAATAGAAAGTGGGAGGAAGAAGCTGACATTTAATTCCTTCCTGTCTTGTTTTCTTAACAGTGCCTCCTATTCTGGAAGTCCTCATAGTGTATAGCCAATTGCCTACAGTTGACCAAAGAATTAACACCAGACCTGACGAGCAGTGACAGCCGACTCTAGGAGACCATGTTTCCTGAGTAGATTCTGCACATCAGCCAGGCCTCTGCCATAGTCCTCAGAGGTGACCTGACTCTTCACCTCATCCAGCCAGCGCCTCAGGTCTTCTGCACTATTTTCAAATAGTAGCTGCTGATTTGCTTCATGCAACTGGGTCCCTGGGGAAACACGTTAGGTGTAAGACAGATACACTTTCCTTCAGTTTAAGGGAAGTAGAATCTTTTGATATTTGGAAGAGAAGATAACTGCCTCCTTGTCTTCATACACAAGAAGTCATTTTAAATTTGGAAATTTTTGATGGGTTTGACTTTAAATATTTCAATATTCTCAAAAAATGAAAGCAGTAAATTATATTCCCTGATGAAATACAGTTTTGATTTTATTTTTAAAGTTGTGTTAAATACTTTCACATGTCATTTGTTACTCTACTCAGATCTTCCTTTATAAAGGATTCAACTCAAACATCATATCTTCCAGGTGAAGCATAGAATGTTGGGTTGATTCAATCTAAAATTTGAAGTTTCTTTGACCTTCATTCTCCTCTTTATTAGTTCCTATTCATCACAAACCACGGCCAAGAGTTTTCTTTTCCATGAAGTATCTTGATTATTTATACTAGATTAGGCTAAATTATTTATTCTATGAACTTACAGCAATTATTTGTATTATTTCTGCAAAGCAATAACTTCATCTACTGATGGTGGGAAATATCAATGACACTGTTACGATTATGGTAGATTCACCCACCCCCCAAAACCACAAAAATTAGAGTAACAACCAAAGTTATCAAGATAACGTCTCTTCTATAACCAAAGCAGAGTCACGTCTACACAAGATATTTCCAACAAGAAGGGTACTAACAGAAAAACTAATCATTCATGCAAATTTTCAAAAAGTCTTTTTCAAAGTTAAAAGAGAAGTAAAATATAAGTAAAGGAGAGGTAGAATCATACAAGCATACAAAAATATTTTATATGAGTGAATAAGGCAACAAAGTGAATAAAGTTACCAAAGTCTGTAACAAGGTCTCACTAGCTACACGTGGTGGGCTGTAATCCCAGCACTCTGAAAGACTGAGGCAAAAAGATTCCAAGTTTGAGCCAAGTTGAACTATTTGCTGTGCCTCAAAATATGAAATTAAAAAGTGACTGACAATATAGCTCAGTGCAAAGGCCCTGGGTTCAATCTTCAGGACAAAAAACATATATGAAGAGAGAAGAGAGGGAGGATAAAACACTATGGCATACCATATTTAATAAAAATATTTTCATATCTGATTTATTGATGCCCATTTTAATGGCTATTTTTATGACTTATTCATAGTAGGTCTATTTTATAGACTAAAGTATGTAAAATCTAATTAATACAATCAAACAATAATATTAATAATAATACACATAGTGGCAGAGAGGCCACAATGAATGGAACAGAAAACGAAATGAAGAAGACAAACTGACAACTAATGACAGAAGAAGAGCTCAACAGAAATGAGGCAGAGAAGGTTGAACGGTAGGAACAGCTATTTTGGAGAAAACAAGACATCATAATAGCAAGTGCTGATTTAATATCATCTTGTTTTGAAGTCCCATTGGCTTTTGTTCTTCTGTCTACATTGGTTTTAACATGTTGTATCTTATTGGATTTTATTATATGTGATGATATAAACAAAAACTTTTATAGACAAGGAGATTATACAGAAAGCATTGTTCATTTTCTGTTAGTTGATTCTAAATACCCTGTAATACTGTCAGTCTCTTGAATGGTTTTACATTGTCTTGATATGTTTGATGCTATAGTATACGAAGTTATACTCAAAGATTTCAAGGAAAGAGACACTATGGTAACTACTTTTATGTCGGGATATCTTGTGGGGAAACACTATTTTGCTTAAATGGTTATGTTTTGACCTGCACTATTTTATTGTTAAGCCCTCTTTTATCTCAATCTCCTTATTTTATTATTTACTTTTTTATTTTTATTTTTTTAATTAAGGGAAAAATAAATAAAAAATAGCAGGATATATTATAGTAACCCACTTTGATTTCCTATTAACTTCAATGACACCCATTCTGGTTAACTATCATCTTCTTATGAAGTCCTGTAATGTCTCCAATGTTTTGGTTTTATTGGTTTTGTTCTTTACTGTTTTGTTCAATTTTGTTATAACTGATGATATAGGCAATTCTTTTTAAGATAGCAAGAGGCAGCATGGTAAACATTGTTGATCACCTTGTATTTTGTTTTTACATTATCTATTATGTCCATCCTTTTGATTTGACTGACTCTGTTCTGTTATGTCACATTTGGCTTTACTCTCTTTTAAAATAAAGTGATAAGAACTGTGGGAGTAGTAAAATCCAAAATGTGTAATTGTCCTTGTATAAAACAGAGGAAAAGAAAGTGCTCTAAAGGATATAACTGCATGTATACTTAAGTGTATAAGATAGATAACCATATTACTGAGTTTTTGTTGGATCATTGATCAGAACTGTGTGCAGTCTCACTGTTTGAAAGTCCACTTTATATGCTTTAATTTTGTAACTTGAACAACTATTTCTAAGATGAAAATATGTAATCTATTAACTAGTGATTTCCTACTGTTTATTTTTTTCTGAAATTCTGTATAACTTGTACTCTTTTTATGTTTTTTCTTTTTATCCTTAAATAAATTTAAAAAAAAATAATAATATACATGATCTGTGGATATTTATTCTATAAAAGAAAAATTGAATAGTGAAGAAAACAAAAAGCAGTTTCTGCATGAAGAAAAGTTGTGTTGCTGTATTGAGTGATAATTTAGGTTGGATTTTAAAGCCCTGGTCAGCAGAAGAAAACAAATGGCAGCATCCCTTCCTACATGGTTCATCAGGTAAATTGGCAATGGTAAAATGTAGGCGGTATGTTTGAAAATTAGGAGTTAGTTCATCATCAAAACTTTTGGATCTAACCTTTTTGTTCTGTGGCCTCGATCAACTCCTTCCAGAGTCTCACAACCTCACTGACACGGGCCGTCACCTCCTCAGAAGCATAGTGGCCATCATCCACCATCTCCTGACCAGCTTTTTCAAGGTTATGGAGCATGATCTTATTGGATTCCAATTCCTTTTCAAACTCTTCCTGCTTCAGAACCCGACTTTTCAAGTTCTGTGTATCCTAAGATGACAAACAAAAATAATTTTAAAAAAAAATTTTATTTAAAGAGAAAAAGAAAAAAAAAACAGGAAAGGGTACAAGTAATACATAATTTCAAAAAAATGAACAATAAGAAATCACTAGTTAATAGATTACATATTGTCATCTTAGAAATAGTTGTTCAAATTATAAAATTAAAGCACACAAAGTGGATGGTCAAACAGTGAGACTACAAACAGTTATGTTCAATGGAAACCAAATAATTAAGCCAAGAATGAAGGACAGGCAAAGTTTTTGGGGACAAAGGATTACTTTCACTATAAATCTAGTTGTACTAAGAAGATACAAAGAAGTAGAATTTTGGGGGCTGGGGATTTAGCTCAGCGGCATAAGCACCTGCCTTGCAAGCAGGCGATCGTGAGTTCGATCCCTGGTACTGATAAACAAAACAAACAAACAAAAAAAGTAGAAGTTTTTCCAAATGCTTGGAAAACTCATATGACTAATGCCTTCTACATATATTAAAGAGTGACGAGTCACTCCTGCATTTATTTGTATCCAATCTCAATGTGGTTTGGGGATCATTTTGAATATAACAACCCATGTTATCACCAACAGTCAATCACAGCTATCATGAGAGTTGAAGATTATTTTGCATTCTTTTCTTTGTACACAAGTTGTCCATGGGTCAGAAACGTAACTGCTGTACAGAATGCAAACACATGCTGCCTAGTTTCACAGAATGGATTGAACAGCTTGCTTCTACCACTGCTTACACAATGTGGTTTCTGCCTGGGGCCAGCTAAAGTGTCAGCCAAAATAAACTCCTCCTTTGAGTTCTGAATGTCAGGTTATTTTGTCCCATCAACAGGAAATGAAGACCCTCCTGATGAGTACTGTGGGACCTGGAACTATGCCTACCTTGTAATCTTCATCATCTGCCAACTTTTTTTTCTTGTTGATCCAGTTTTTTAGGTAGTCTGAGTCTTGATACAGACGTTGCAAAAACAAGGAATCTGACAGTAGTTTCCGTCTAATGGCAGCCTTTTCACGTAGAGCATCTCGCCTATTCAAAAGCTGCAAAACCAGGAGAAAACTTACTGTCAGCAGAACCAAACATGGATACATGAGACTCACTGCCCACCCTGGCTGATGTTCCCAACATTCTCCCTGATCTCAGTGCATAAACAGGAAGGTAGAGGCTCTGGTTGACGTACCCCGTCCCGGATAGCAGCAATGTTGTCTGAATCATAATGACCTTTATCAATCAGTCTGGTGGCAGTCTCATTTAAGGTCTAAAACAAAACAAAATAACAACCACAATAAGAACAACAAAAAACAAATAGAGTAGTATTCCCTCCAGTGACAACTGAGTAAGTTCACCTAGCTGTTTAAAGATAAAGCATACCAATAAAGAAAATGACAAATTTCAGCGTGAAAGATTTAGGTCCCAGTTATGATTTCTTTATCAACTGCTCCTAAAAGTATAGGCCATACACATGTCACTTATTTCTCTGTGTCACAATATTTTTCAATCCATTTACATGTCACTATAAGATAAATACTTTATTCTTAAATCTTTTAAGAGGAAGCAGTATCAATGACACCCATATGCAGTGGTCACTTTATCCAGCATATCTCTCTTATTTGTGTATCACATAGGTGGAAAGATGGATAAACAGACAGACAAATAGATAGATAGACAGACAGACAGGTAGGGCTATACATTTATATCTCTGAGGGACATGAATCAGAAATTAGAGAAATGTGGTTTTACTCAAATTCATTCATAAATTTCCCAAATTGTGACAGCTCAGAATGGATTGATTGAAATAGAAAGAAAATCTAAAATAAATAACAGTACAAAATAATCACGCTCTTAGTATTTACCAATCAGAACCACCAGATTAAGCTATGGCTTAATAAGGGAACACATTATGCACTGCATTCCTGGACTTTGTCATTTCTGATACTGGTGATGGTGTGTATGCATGTGTGTGTGTGTGTGTGTGTGTGTGTGTGTGTGCGCGCGCGCGCGCACGTACGCATGTGTGTATTTAAAGTTGACATCATCTTAAGAGGCAGACAAAGACACATGGAGGATTCCTCAAATTTCTTTGAATCCTGCCTATATGTTGTTCAGTTTTCTAGGAAGTTATAACTCAAGTAGACAGTAAACAAATCTTAATAGCATTAAATGAGAACACAAAGATGAAGACATTATAAAGGAATGAATACCATAAAGGAAAAAATAGATATTACTTAGATATCTAGACATTATGAGATAAAACTATATTAAGATGATACTAGAAAGGAAAAGTCAAAAATAGATAACAAATAGATTTGTTAATAATTATTTATAAATTATAAAGCCTATAACTTTATTTGTATTTTGGAAAAAACACATGCTAGAACTCCTTAAAAGAAGCAATATCTTACCACCTTGAAAAAGTTTACTAAGATGCTTTGGAGAAAAAAGAAATGTATTGATAAAAATGGTTATGTTTATTATTCCATATGTCTTATTCTAAAGATCAATATTTATTAAGTTTTGGTTTTCAAAACATTTAGGTCTATAAAATTAAGTCAGAGAAATTCTAAAATCTGCAAGGAAACATTACCACCAAAAAAACACGGATAGAACTTTATCAAGGATATTTCTCATGCTATAGTATTTATTCTACTTACAGATGTATAAGATTAAGTAATATATACAAACAGGAAGCATATGCCCCAACCCACTGGATCCTATTTCTTACTATGATCTTCTCTTCCTGGGCAGTAAAGGCATCCTCGAAGTCATCATGCTTCTGAAGTAAGGCTTCTACAGCCCCCACTGAGTTCCCCAAGTCCTCGTTTTCCAGGAAAGCCTGTCAAAGATGAAAAGATATCCAGATGTCTCTGCTGGTAAGAAACACTTATTTTAGAATAGCACCGAGACAAGAACTAAAGATTGTAGGCAAGAGAGCTGTGGGGCAAGGAGGAATTAGCTTACATTAAGATACTATACAGAAATTAACTTCAAACAACACAATCTTCACACCTCCTTGGCAGTGTTCTAGCACGATTTTCTCTCCTATATTTTAAATCTATCTGCATGAAAGCAGTATTGAGTTCTCAAAACTGCCTCCAGAGAATCACACACCTTCTCCAGGAAATCTCTGATTAATCCTGCCTGACTCATCACATTGTTTTTCTTTCTTACTCTTTACCAATTTAACATCCAGTTGCCTCATATTCAGTTGAGATATAATCCTATTGCTATGTATTTTGATAATCTCTCAGTGCCTTTTTGCCCATGAGACAATTATAGGAGCCTTACAGAGCAGGTTATCTTCTTTGTGTAATGAATCGTTCCCCAACTCCTGGAGACTTTAGCTAAGGTCTGGTTGGGAAGGTAAATGAGGGATGGGAGAAGAGATCTCTAAACTCTGGCTGGATGCCTCTGTTACCTCCTGTCTACTCATCCAGCTGTCCACTTGCTCACGGTCTCGGCAGAAGAGGTGAAAGTCCAGGCACTGCTGGTATTGCTGCTGACGCTCCTTCCACAGTTCCCGCAGGGTGGCCCAGTTGTTGGTAAGTGTTGTCATCTTTGGAAAGATGACACTTAATTAATTTATTGGACCCTATTCTTACTGAGCATTTAATAAAGTCAAAGCCTTTGAAGAATAGGAAAATTAATAGGAATAATGCTTGGGGCTGGGGATTTAGCTCAGCGGCATAAGCGCCTGCCTTGCAAGCAGTTGTGAGTTCGATCCCTGGTACCGATAAAAATGAAAAAGACCAAAAAAAAAAAATAGGAATAATGCTTTTCTTTTATTGTTCCGATATCTAAGCAAATAGTTTTAGTATAGCAAATCGCAATCCATGAAACAGACATAGCATACTTTGTATATGTGAAAAGGAAGATACAGAGTAATTTGGATGAGAAGAACCAGGAATAAAAATGTAGGAAACTACAAAAAGTTTCATATTAAACAGAAATTTAAAGAAAGAAATATCAGGGTTGTAGGAGAACATACTACCATGAGCAAATTTGTATTTTGGGGATACCAAGTAATTGTTAGATTTTATAGTATATTTCAGAGGGGAAAAAATGAAATGTCTTAAAAAGGATAGATATTTCATTAGGGTCAATTTCTTGGAGCGTTTAAAATGTCAGACTAAGAAGTTAGAACTTTATTATGAAAAAAAAATAACTATCAAGGAAAGAGGGGAAAAAAAGTATTCTTACACACACCAAAAGAGTCCTGTATTTGAACAAGACTTTGCCCAAGAAATTCAAGCATATTATAACTGTTTCAGTTAATGCTATCAAAAAAGCAATGCAAATTCTCAGAATCCTGGAATAATAATAATAGCTAATTTTTCAGAAATGAATTTTTTGACAAAAAGAAAATCCATATTATAATGTTGTCACAGAATACTTGAGAAGCTAACATTATGGTCTTGGCAACTTCACCTATTGCACTAAGTTGAAGGCTGTGTTTGGAATCTAGTGAGATGAAAAACAGATAAAAATCTCTATGTGATTATCATTCCTAAGAGTGCCTGAATGCCGTGAATAGTGCAAAATCTCTCTGTGTCTAGGGGTGAAGGTAGGGCTCCTGTGATCCAGGAGCTTGGAATTACCTCACTTAGTAGAAGTTCAAAGTTTAAAGTTTAAGAAACATAGACTCAGAAAGATAAACCAGGTTAATAGTGTTATAGGAGGAAAGAAGAACAGATAAAGGTAGGTATCAGGCATGAGTCATGCATTGTACTAAACACTATGAGAAACTCAAAGATTATTCTTAATAAGGCAGAGTCCATTGAATTTACCATCTGAAGATAAGCATGGATACGCATCAGAATAGCATACACAGCAAAATGGCATGGGCATTTCAAATTAGGTGGAAGTCAGAGAGTTAGAGACATAAAGCTCAAAGGTGACCAAGCACTTGTTTTAGATCCCTCAGTTTAGCTAAAGCCTATATGAACAGAAGCAGTATGAAAATGGGATTCACAGCAGTGGTAGATTTAAATTGTTTCCATCCACTTGCTGTTCTAAGAGGATGATTAAATGAATACTAAATATTTAGCACAAATATCTCAAGCCCTGTTTAATTAGATTACCTTTTCCTGAATTTCATCAGAAGCTTCATGCTTGCTCTCCAGTAGCTCCCGACCAATCTCATCAGCGGATTGAAATCGGTCCTCATAAGAGTCAATCTCATGCTATGACCGACAGGAAAAAAAAAAAATATTTCAAATACAGCAAGCAATCTGGCATTCTGGGCACATCTCCCCCTTGCTCCTACCCTTCTTTCTTCTCCTCCTGAAAAGGCCTTCGTTTACTACCTTGTGCTGCTGATGCCTGTCCAGTAGGGCTTCTCCACCAGCCACATCCTCTGGCAGCTTATCAGCATTGATCAGAGCTGTCTTTTCATTCATCCAGCCTGAGAGCTCATCATAGTCTGATAAGAACCGATAGTACCTGTGGAAATGTAGAGGCAAAAGACAGAAGAGAAAATGTGCTTCGAAAGGAATTTGAACAAAGAATTAGAAGGGAGCTGACCTAAGATATACGAGGTCCTCCATGCATTAATCTGAACACTTGCCTTCTCCCTATGTACTCCCTGTTACTAAACAGTCAGATTTGTTTTCTCAGTGTAGGCCACAAGTCTTCTACACCAGGGTGTACATCCCAGGGTAGGCACATGTGTCATTGTGTGACACTCTTCTCTTTATGGATGTTAAATCCCTACAAGTCCTTGTCTACTAAAAGATATTCGAAAGAAGTAAAATATTCACAATGCAAACAACAAATACATACATGTTATGCAAGTAACAGAAAGCACCTTGTAGAAAGAGTAGCAAAAATTAGCATTACAATTCTTATATATTTTCACGCTATGTATCTATTAATAAAACACGAGAACTTTTAAAACTGCTTTCCTATACAAAATAAATGTTTGCTACTTGATTTTAATTGTAATAATAAGATAAATACTATCTTTTGCTGAATTGGCTACTAGTCACAGAATTAACTAAAATGATACTTGGCTATCACAAATTTTGTAAGCTTTTAACCTACAGTCAGGAGATAATTCTACAGTTATTTTAATATTACTCCTTTAAAAAATATTTTAGCTCCTTAGCCAGTGCCAGAAGTTTTCCCACTTTATAGGATACTTTATAATATCCTAGAAATGATAAAACAGGGGGATATGAATGAGCAGAACTTGGAAGCAGAGTCTTACATTGATTTAAAATTTTCCCTCAGAAAATTAAAACTTCGTTTTCTTCTACTGATGAAGCAGGAGAGTCAAGCTCCTTTCTGTACATTACCCCTTGCACGTGTGTCATTGTGTGTTCTGCATTTGACAGCATGTGCAGGCTCTGTAGAGGCAGAAAGAATAATAGCAGGGAGAAATTTCCTACCCATATGCAGCCTGCAGCTTTGCATATCTGGCAGTAGCCAAAGCACGAATGTGCTCCCAGCTGGAGATCAAGTCTTCTTTCATTTCTTCGATCTGACTTTCATCAGGATGTGAGATCATCAACTTGTCTGCTTTGGAACACAGCTCCTTTACCTTTGGAAGGGAACAAAAACTTAATGGAAAAAACCCAAGCACTCTGATTCCTGGCAAAGTTCAAATAAAAGCAATAATATGACTAATAATTTAGAAATACATTTGACATATTTTATTACTCTATTAATCCATTATATCAATAAAAGTTTATTGAGTACATTTTATTTGTCATGGTGTTCAATAATTATATCTATTTGCTCATTTTATATTATTCATTAAATAATATATTAAAGTAGAAACTATATTCTTCCTATTCAGCTATTATTAGAAGTAAGGTCTTGACCTAATTCTGTCCCTCACCATTGTTCTGTATCCCTAATGGGTATTAGAAACACACATCTTCCCCAAAGGTTAAAAGTGCAGTAATGATAGACTTTTTTAGGCACAATTCTTCAATAGCTGGGCTCTTGTGGCAAAATATAGATATGATGACCTGTTACAGTTTGAATAAAGTATCTATACAAGTTTGGAGAAACCGCCTAGCGTCAGCTTGTAATTAAAGCACAGCAAGTCTGGATCTTTCTACCGCTGGCTCTTCTGCCACACTCAGCAGTAACTGTTTTAAATTGTGGCTAAAGTTGAAAGATGAATAGAGATTTAAAGTAAAAAGATGCTTAGTAATCCTTTTGCCTTGCTCTGAGTTCTACTATACTTAATTCTGATTCTTTAACAACAGGGACTAAGGATTTTCAGATTCAGAAGAGCCTAATGAAAGCTTTACCATAAGTGTATCAGAGTTTATTATAAAAGGAAGAAGAAAATGTGTAATTTTTTCTGATCTACAGAGTGAATCATAAAATAACAGGATTCAGCTTCAATAGGAAAAAAGTAGCAAAAAGAAAGACTGTGGCTATCCAGAAATTATAAAGTCATCTTGGAGGTATTTTTTTTTTATTTTTACATATGAGTATAATACAAAACTCAAGAGAATGTAAAGCATATATGTATATTTCAATGAAAGCAATTTAAATAAAAGTAGGAGCTTTCCGGTATCTATGATCAAGTATGAATTAAATTAAGTAAATATATTCAATTATCACAGAATTTCTCCTTAATTGTAAAATGAGTTTATTGTGTCTCTATTGATAGTGGTGGTAGGACAAAGTAAGATACTGACTAAATACCTTTTTATTTTTTGAGCTCCAGAGGCCAGGTATTCCTCAGTGGCTTACCTTGTCCTCCATGACTGCAAGGTTCCTCTCCAGTCCCTTGTGACTGTGAAACAGGGCCTCAGAACTAAAAAGATCGTTGCCATAGTCCTCAGAGATGAGAAGAGGCTCTTTCTCTTTGATCCACTGGATTGCTTCAGTAACATCCCTAAGATATTAACATAAGCTCCCATAAAATGAATGATAATATTGCAAGACAAACAAAACCACAGAACAAACTGCATGCATCTACCTAGTTCACCCAGGCAGCAAGTTTCCTGCCTTCCTCCAGACCAGCAAAAGTAACTTTAAAAGTTCCTGCTTATAAGTTGTTTCTGCTGAGATATCAGGGACCACGGTCCCTTGATGTTTGAGCTCTCAGATATGTTCCCTTACTTGAGTCAACTATTTATGAATTCCTTTACACCAAATCTTCCTCCTCTAACTCTTGCTCATTTTTCTCTTTTCTACAGAGTTTCTATCACTGATACATCAGTGCTATTTTTTTTATTGCTTTGGGATCTAATCTCCTATAATTGGCTACTGAGTAATACTCAGTTTTAATGTTCTTGCTATTTCAAAGGCAAAGGCATGATGAAGTTTGATTTAAGGTATTGGCCGTAAATTACAAACTAGAATAGGTCATTAGAGTTTAGATTAACAATGGTCCCAAATGTCTCATGCATTTGGAATGTGATTGCTTCACAGGGTTGCTATTCTTATCAGTGGATCTATCCAGTGTCCACATGTGCTGTTAGGAGGTAAAATCAGAAGAGCTAGATCACTGCAAAAATTTTGCAAGGATTTATCTCCCCCACTCCCAGCTCTTGCTTATGCTCTGCACTTCCTTGTTGCCATGACATGGGCAGTTGTCCACCACCAAGTCCCTCTGCCATGCTGCTTCTGCCTTAAAATCAGCTGACCATATATTATACCCATGAGCTAAATAAACTTCTACTTTAAGTTGCAAGGGTCAGGTATTTTGTCCCACAAAAGGGTAAAAGACTAAGACAGAGACAAATACAAGTAAACATGACATTATCTGAAGCTGGTTACAGTTATACCTTTTGAACCGCTGGAGGTCTGCAGCACTGGACAAAGTTTCCCTTCTTTGTAAAGCCAGATTACAGAGTTCCTCCCAGGCAGCATTTACCTGATCCTGCTTAGACTTTATTATGGGCAGATCAGGATGGTTCTCCTGCGAAAGATATCAGCAGTGAACTTATGTAAAGAAGAAATTACACCAAAAATCATTTCCACACTTTACACTGTTCATATTTGGTCAGAAGTAGTAAGTGGCCACTGTAACAAGACCTTCACCATAACCCTGTTTCCTAACTTACCTGGTCCACTTAATTAAAACCTAGGAACACCAATCTACCAGACGGCACTCTTTGTACATGGCATTGGACAAGCCTGTTAACACAGGTTTATTTTATATGATAGGATTATTTTTACCCACCTTCATTCTGTGTATGCTCAGTTTGCCAGATTTTATAAGCACTTTCTTAAGTAAATGAGGTAAATCTGTCTCCTTCCCTTCCCAAGTCCCAAGACAATAATGTATAAGAATACTGCATGTGTATATCTAGCCAGATTGATGAACAAACATTACATTATCCACTATTTTGTTTTCTTTGTTTCTTTTCACAAAGCACATGAGTAATCAGTCTGTTACCTGGTACAGACAATTGTTTGTAGTGTATATAATTCCTACACACACACACACACACACACACACACACACACACACCCTATTACCTCATTTCCATGGGCTAACAAAAGATGGTTGCAGTGAGAAGAAGAAACTTGCCAGGTTATGTGGCCTCAGGAATTTACATTCCTCTGTTTTCTCACAAGGTTTCATTTCCCTCCTATCCCATCGGCTGTTGGGCAGAGAACCTTTTCCCTGGAATGACTCTTCTGCCCCCATCTCACCTCAGCACATTCATTGGCATATTTGTTCACTGCATCCACTCTTCCCTTTCGAGCTGACAGCTCTTCTTGGAACTCTTCAAACTTCTTATGCAAAAATTCTGTGCGCTCCCAGGCCTCACCCAGTTCTGTAGATGTCACTATAGATTTCTGTAAACACAGAAAATTTTGCCAAGTCACCAGAAACACCAAGGAGTTCCAGCAGGTCAACAGTACAAACCCAAGTTTGTAATCTGGGATAACTCATATAGTTAAACTGAGGAATCTTTCATGTTTTGAGTGATGAATAAGCAATTATAGTACCCTTTAAAAAACTATTTACCAAAAAAAAAAAATACATATAAATCTCTCTAGCTGGATCAAATGGAACCGCTAGTCCTAGTTTTTTGAAGAATCTCCACACTGATTTCCACAGTGGTTGCAACAATCTGTATTCTCACCAACAATGAAGAAGGATTGCTTTTTCTCCACACCCATGCCAGTATTTGTTATAGGTTGATTTCTCCATACTAAAAATTCTTCTGGGGTGAGATGGAATGTCAGCATTGTTTAAATTTGTTTGTCTTGAATTAGCAGTGATGTTAAAAAAGAAAAATAAATAAATAAATAAATAAATAAACCTCTCTATAGGCAGTGAGAGGCAAGAAATTTGGGAAAGAGTTCGAAATATTCTCAGCCAGGCCCTGAAAATGAGCAGAAAGCTGGGAGAAGGTGTTAAAGATCGTGAAAGATGTAAGGAAGATGAGCATAGACGATATTCTAAGGCAAGATTTTTTTGTGTAAGTCTTGTCTTCTCCGTATCAGATCCACAGGTTTACACTTATTCTCTAACATTTACACTCCACAGTATCCTAGATTCTTAACCAAAATTCCTCTTGTTTCAAGGAACATTGTTCAGAAAGAAGCCTGAAACATTCTGGCTTCTTTGCAAATAGTCTGTAGTAAATTGCTGTGGAGTTGCTGGGCCAGTGGAATGGGAGGGCCTATTCACATGCTGTCTATACCTTCTCTTCGATCCATTCCAAGATGTCATCACACTCCAGGAAGTACTGATAGAACTTCAGGGCCTGCAGGAGCCAGTCACTCTTCTCCTTGGTCAGCTCCAGCAGTAGGTCCCACAGGCGGCGTAGTTCTACCAGATGGGTCTTTAGGGAAGAGAGCAGAAATACTGAGGCACAGAGGCTATGGAGGAGGTACAGACTCAGAGACTTGTGCAGAAAAGTGCTTTGGTTAGGGTGGGGGATATAGATCAGTGTTAGAGTACTTGCCTAGCATGTACAAGTTCCCAGATTCAATCCCCAGTACCACAAAAAAAGAAAAAAGAAAAAGAAAAAAAAAAAAAAAACCTTGGGTTAAAAATTCTTACTTCCGTCAATTATGCACCATTTAAACACTGGATATAGATTCAAATTTTGTTATAGTGAACCAAATATGATCTTTGCTAAAATGATTTGAAGTTTTAGAGGATAGATTAACTACAGCAATAACATAGATAAAAGGAAGGATCCAAGGAGCCTATGCATACGAACAGTGTTTAGAAACAGAAAGGTGAGTGAATGTCAGACAGTGAGCGTTCAAAATTCAAAAGCAGTCATGGAGAAAGAAAGCATAAAAATTAAATTTCACTGATTTATTAGCAATTTGTGGTACCAAAAGAGTTGGAATATTTGGGAAGTAAGTAGTTCAAGACTATATGTAGGGTTTTGGTTGCCAGGTTAGCTAAGAACATGACTGATTGCATATCTTATAAAACTAAAGTTGCCAACTGTATCGTGCCTTCAAGAATCAGGCTTTTCAGCTACTCTGCTCTTCAAGGTAACATGTGGAGCCCATGTCTCTCTGAACTTTGTCATGACTCTGTCTAATATGCTTCTAATTTTTATGATGGTTGGGAGATGTTTTAAAAATTTCCCAAATGTTTTAATTGATGTACAGATTTAATTACATAAAAGTCTAAATAATGCAAAATTGTTCATATTTTATACGAACACGTCACACATAATAATACAAAACTATTTATATTTCATATAAACAAATAAATTTGGAGATTTTCTTTTTATGATTTTTTAAAAAAATTATTTTCTGGTTAAAGCCTACGTTGCTTAGCCAAGCAACATATTTTGCTGATGGATGGGAAGTAATTTTTATGTTACATAAAAATATACCAGCCCAAGTTTTTAAAAAATGACAGAAATATTTTTGACAACCTAAAAATATGTAAAGTAAAATGTTCAGTCCCACAAAAAGATCATGAATTCACTATTTAACTACATGTATTTGAAAGAACTGCATGAGCTAAGAAAGCAAATGGCTTATATACTAATATTGGGAACAGCAATAAATGCTGTTGAAATGGTAGTTACTTTTAGATTTTTGTTCAAAGCAGATTCTTTGAAGACTAGAGATTTTAAGGAATATTTGAAGTAAGTGGAAAAGAGAGTTCAGAAAGGTGTAAAAATAGTTACAGGATGTAGTGTGTGAAAAGAAAGAGCCTTCACAGGAAAAACAGAAACTCAGAAAAGACTCAAATGGGAAAACATAGCATATCTGAAGAGACAGACAGTTGAACAATGAAGTGAAAAAATAATAATAATAATTAGAGAAAAACATTTGGAAAAGCCAGTTCATGTAAGAAATAAAAAGCAGGTGGAGCCAGATTATCCCAGTTGGCATAAGGAAAAAAGGATTACCATCCAGTGACATGTTCCCCATTCTGATTCCTTTCCCCACCCCACTGAACACAGCGACATCCTAGTCTCTCCTGCCTTCAATGCCTTGAGAACATAATAAGCAGGAATCTTTATTAAGCCAGGTATATCTGGTATAAGCGGTGGAAGCTCTCAGAATACAATGAACAAATAGGAATTTCTTGTTGAGATCTCTACTATACATTCACCTTGGTATCTTCATGAGCAAAATGTTCTTCATGTGATCGGGCTGCCCTGATTTCTTCCAGTTCAGCAAGGGCATTGGATTTTGCTTGTACTTCTGCTTCAAATGTTTCATGCTTCTGATGTTTTCCCTGAAGTTTAGAAATCAGAAGTCATGAATTATTAAGTACACTGATTCTGGAATATAAAGTGGACTATGTGGTCTTCTTACTTTTAAGCAGAACTACACACTTCAAAACTTGTATTTAACAGTGATCTATGGCTATAGATACAATTGCCTTATCCTAGAAGCAGTGGTCATTCTAGGCAGAATTACTGAACATAGGTTGGCAAAGAGTCACAAAGGCCACAGAGAGGGTCTTTTCCTGTCTCCAATTGCTTTGAGGATTTTAATTCCACTATTATTTCAATAACATGCTAACTTTTTAAAGATGTCATTAGTTTCTTTGGAATGAAAGTCTGAAGCATAAAAAGGAAGAGCTGAGTTCTATTCAAAGTAGAAAATAATGACAAACACAGTAGTTATAATACTGGCTCTGTACACATGCATTTTAGGCTCTGTTCTTGTCTTGTGTAAATCAATCCATTATGTTAATCTTGCTCTGGGTGCGCCCTCTCCAATATTCATCAACTCGGTAGCCTGTATACCCTTTTCTTCTGATGATAACTGTGCTACATATTCTCATAAGAGACTGAGTTTCCACAAAACTTCTTCTTGGAACTTTCAATGGAAATTAACAGGAGTCAAGAATTACCATTTTGGGAAAACCTAAGAAAATCTGTGGCTCTAAAGAAGGTGGAGAATGATTGCATTGGAGATATCAATGACTTTGTTTTAAACCATGATTCCTTTCTTAATATAACAAAACATTGAAATCAAGTGTTATGTCAGAGATCCTTTAAACTTTTAGTCACAGTTTTGTCAATAGCCTCACTTCATTTGAAAGGAAGAGACCAAAGGATAGACAGAGGATGGAGGGAGAAAGGAAAGAAAAAAAAAAATTAGGATGTATTATTTATATGTACCAACTCTACACAATTAGGGTAATTAATTTATACTCCAAATATGTACTAATAAGAACTTAAAAATTAAAATTTTTAAAAATTTAAAAATTAAATTAAGTTACCATAGGATATTATCTAGAAAGAAAGAATTCTCTGAAAATCAAATGTGGAAGATAAAACCTTAATCATTCTATTTAAAGATAGAATTATCCCTTGTAGATAGTCTAATCTTTCATTCCCTTCATGTTTACTAGATACCCATTGTTTTAGAAGAATATGAACACAGATGTATGAAAGTTAGCGTGACCTCTTTGTCAGAAGTATAATAGTTAACTTTTTTTTTTTTAGTTACTAGAAGTCAGTGACATCAAACCAGTAACACTTTTGTGGAGATATATTAGTAAACCTGTAGTCACTATCTGTGTCATATTCTCAAGATCATGGTTTTCGATTATTTTGTTTATTGGAGTAGCATGTACCAGATTTAACTCCAAACACTGCCATGATGCTGTCTGACACAGCCCAAGTGATTTCAATTTATGGAACATATTTTAAATATTTCTCAAAAGTTTTAATTATTCTAGGGGATTCATTACACACAAACTAAATAATTTTTAAAAGTACATAGTTTACATAAGTGAATATCTTTTGAGATTTTTCTTGTTATGAATTTCTAAATTTTTTTCTGGTGTAGTCTGTGTTTGGTGATCATATTTTGCTGACAGTAAAATGGAAAAGAATTTTCTTGCTATTTTTAGAAACTCCCAATGTAGTCATGAATTAAAACTAATGAATAAACCTTCACTTACACAGCGAGGTTCTGAATTCACTGCGTCAATACATACATTTGGAAAGTGCATGACTTTAGTGAGAAATAGCTAATACTTTAGCAAAGGATAACATGGAAAAAATATTGCTTGAGTAGTGGTTATCACTACTTTATAGATTTTCAGGGAATTTTCTCAGGGCACATGTTTTAGAAAATTTTTCACAAAAGGAAAGAGTATAGATAAGTAGAATAACAGTCAAAGGATGTGATGTGCTTAGATAAAAAAAGAGCCTTAATAGACAAAGGGAAACAACAGTAGGGGAAATATTATAGTACTCAATGATTTAAAGAGACAAGGAGATTGAAGTCAAAGAAATTATTAAAAACAACTTAGAAAATAAAAATTCATCTTAGAAATATGCAAACATAATTGTACTACTAATTTCTTTCAGTTCATTGAAAAGGTTGAATGGTGCTTATATTGGTTGATGAATTAGTGTGGCTAGATATTTTTCTTATTTTTTTATTTTAAAAAAGCAAGAGAAAAAGGATAGAAATGACACAGAATTTTGAAAAATGGTAGGAAATTAACAGTAATTAAAATATTACATATTGTTATATTAGAAGTAGTTGTTCAGGTTACAAGATTTAGGCACAAAAACTCATCAGTCAATGAAAGCACAAACTATTCTTTTGGATGAACTAACATAGAAATTGGTAGTTTAGCTATCATATAGCTACACTATATATGTATATTTTTTTTCTTTTCTTCCTTCTCTTTTTTCCCTTAGTTCTTTCCTTTCAAGCACTTGCTTCTCCTTTCATTACCATGATATCTATTGTATATTTTGGATCTTATTACTCCTTCAGTTTTTTTTTTTTTTTTCATACTAGGGAGTCAGTACAATGTGATTTTGATTGTAATGTGATTTTGATTTATTTCACTTATGAGTATGGTTTCAAGTTGACTCCATTTACATATAAAAGCCTCAAATTATCCTTCTTTATAGCAGCACAATTTGTAGTAGCTAAATTTTGTAAATAACCCGAACCCATCAACCACAGAATGGATAAAAAAGATTTTTACACAATGGAATACTGCTCAGTTATGAAGTATGCCTATATCTTGCATTCTGAGCAACTACTTTGAAGGCAATGATATGCAATCCACATGTACTTATCATTTCTGCTTTGAAACTGCTTTGAAACTCTGCCTGCTTTGAAACTCTGTATCGTTTTTATTTTTGTTTACTTTTCTTTATTTATAATTTTAAAAAATAAGTTAAAATATTTTAAATCCAAATGTGGAGCAGGTTTAAGGTGGTTGAATTTAAGTCAGTTTACTCTACAGTAGCATAAGTAGATAAGTACTACCACCCAACAGTATCTTCTAGGCCTGACGAACAGGCTCCTAGGCCATGTCAGTATACAATGGGATATGCTACAGTTTCTTCTGCCTCAACCCGGTAGAACACTAAAGGCAGGGACCCATTTTTTAAACCATTTGCAACAAGGTTTCTATCTGATATAACCAATTAAAATTCTGATAACAAAAAGTAATTAGAAATATAACATGGAGACCTCTATCATATGTTTACCTTAACATCTTGATAGACCAATTGATATTCGGCAAGATGGGTGCTCATTTTCTTTGCGACCTCTGAGTCTGCTGGTACCTTTTCCTTTAGGTGTGCAGGTTCCTGAGATATAGAAAAACAGAGATATGGAAAATTAAGCATAGTATCTCTGGACCATAAAGTGGACCTTGTTTTCCTCCTGTTACCTTTAGGCAGAACTACTTGTTCCCCTACCTGGATTAGATGCATCTGTACCCACATTTGAAATGATCATATACTAAAGCAAAGGCCACTCTAGGGAGAGACACTAAACCTAGATTGTCAGAATGTTTCAGGCTCAATGTCAGAGGGCAGAGAGACTCTTTCTTTTGCCCCCTTGCCTTTACAAAATTTTCAGGAAATACCTTATTATTTAAAAGGGCTTCTAGATCTCTAAGAGGATAAAAGAGTATGTCACCCACAGTGCTTTAGAAAACAATCTACCTGAGTTCTTTAGAACATTGCACACAATGAAGAAGTTGGTAGTTTTAATAATGGCTTCATACACATGGATAACGAGTGCTTTCCTGTCATGTGTAAATTAATTCATTTGAGATATATGACTTTGATTTTGTTCCACATGCTCCCTTCCTAATGTCAGTTATGCTTTTTGCATGGCTACACCTTTCTTTTGACGATGGCAGTGCTACATACTATGATATGAGGTCCAAAGGCAGATTTAGAATCTTTCACCAAACTTCTCATAGGACCTTTCAGCTAAAATTAATAAGAATGAATGACAGCAACTTCAGAAAAACCTAGCAAAATCTCTATTCTGAAGAGAAGGGAGAGTACTTGCTATAGAAGCATTGATGGTTCTTTACCACTAGACTGTATTAATGTCACAAAATATTGAAATCATATGATAATGGTAGAAATTCCTTAAATATTTACTTAATCTTTTTTCATAAGCTTGTTAATTTCAAATTATTTGAAGCTATTATGGAATACAATCTAGAGTTTTCTTGGCAAATAAAATTCTGATTTAAAAACTAGAAGATGTGTCATTTGGAAAAAGAATTAGCATCCTTAAGAGCCTAATCTTTCATTCTTTTATAGCTAACAAGCCTTACATTTTCTTTGAAAGAGTTGTTCAATATAATCATTTATAAGAAACAGTTCAGTGTTTCAACTATTACCATTTTTTTCCTTGTGTTTTGTTTTCTCAATCTCATCCTTCCAGTTTTATAAGGAGATACACCTTTAGATTTTCTCTTAATTCCAAGTTGAAGGTTTTTCCTGTACTTATTTGTTTTGTTTGGTGTCTATTTTTTCCAAGTAGAATGAGACTTTATTCTTACCCATCTGCCCTTATGATCATAAAGACAAACCTGTTTCTCTTCTTAGAGGTTTAGATATGGGCTAGGGAAGTGTCTGGCACTGACCTCTATAGAAGGTATTTCTTTATAGCTCTTATCCTCTACGGTCTTGATCTTCTCCAAGATCCACTTCTCCAGGTCATCTACATCTCTCCTGAAAACTTGGTAGTGATAGGACTCCTCAAGCTTCTGACCCCGCTCAGCAACCCGTTCCTTGAATCTCTGGTACCGATTCAACACTTCCTGACGCCTCTGCTGGATTTCTTCTGCTGTCTCCAAAACCTTTGGCCCACTGCTATCCATGATCTGAAACTTTAAAATCCTCTATGTACTCTGAAATATCACACTGTGTCTCATAAATCTGTGTAAATATTATGCATCAGTCGAAATTTTTAAAATATTTAAACCCATATAAAATTAAAAAGCTATCTATTGGTACTTTCCATATATCCCAAGGCATTTACTTATGTTAAATCTACATTTAAGAATCTTTAAGCCTTTAAATGTTTATTGTTAGAAGGTCTATGTATATTTAGATAAATTTAACAACATATAGCTACTATTTAGACCAGCAACTATTAACAATTTGGAAGACTTTCTACCTTCTCCTATAAATGTGTGCCAACATTTATTCTTCTCATGATGGAATAAGTTTAAGTTAGGAATTCAGAAAAAAGTAGCTCAAAAGAAATGTAATTTTATGGCTCTCATATATTGAAAAACTTTGCAAAGTGCTGATCATCTTGAACTTAAGTTACCGAGTACTTAGAAGTGTTTTAAAAGTCACTTAATGAATCATTCAAAAATTTTTGAAAAATTTACTTTATGTTTAGAAATATGGCTAATATATCCTTTATTCTATGTATTACTTTATCCAAAAACAATACAAACCCAAACTTAGCACTCTTCTGATAACAAATTTCAAATTATTAATTCAGTAATTGTTTTTTAAAGACTTACATAGTCAAATAATGAAAAATAATCCTCTCTTTAGAGGAGTCAAACCTGTGTGTGGCAGTATTCAACAAAATTTCCAAAGGTCCATTGCATTCATGATGATTTGAGCACGGTTTCTGTAGTTTACTTTCTCCTGAATTCTCACTGCACAGTTTGAATTTTACTCAAATTTTTTCTCTATTGTTTCCCATGGGCACCATTTTCTACTGTGCTCATCACATGAAATTATTCCATAAAGACCCAGATCTTTATCAAGTTTATTTTGTTCCAAATTGTTTAATTGTTCTATATGTGAACTAACATATAATTGCTAGGTTTTGATTACTATATAGACATAAGTTCTAGGTTATGTTTAAATACAAACATACACCAAAGAAGAATTACAATTTTCTACTTGTCAAAAACATTAACAATTTTGATGACCTTGCAAACAGTACAAACAGTTCAAGTGAGACAGTTTTCCTAATAATATCAGTGAAAACTTCCACTGAAGAGAACCGAATTTGTACTTACGATTTCCTTTGCAGATTGTACCACTTTTCTTAAAGGACTAGAATTTGCCAAGATGAAATGTATCTAACAGAGATAAAGAGAAAGAATCCACACTGAATTCTGTAACTGAATTCATAAAAGTCTAACAGACATATGAATTTGATAAAGACCAAAAAAAAAAAAAAAAAAAAAAAAAAAAAGGCTCAGAATCATCCCGCCAACCCTAGACAATCAACTTTATCTGCAGGAGCCACATTCAGCTGAAGCAGCTGCTAACGTTCACCACAGGCACAAGATGACTCAGCACTTTGGGCAGGGGTGGATTATTATACTCATTTGCTCAGCAGGACTTCAAAAAACAAATGAATGCAAAGTTCTCAACCAAAATGTAGGAAGAAAAACGTTGCAGATGTAACACAAACAGCTATGCTAAGATTATGTCTTGTGTCTTTGATTGATTTTAGATGCTATAATCTCTGAACCTCATTACTGAGAAGAACTAGGGCTGCTCACTCTCTTGACTCCTTGTAGTGCAGAACTACAAGAACTCAGGCTACCCACAGCTTGCTGTCTTGATCTTTTTCTAGGAAGCAGGACTCAACAACTTGATCAAGATCTAATTGCAGATTTGCAAGACCCTTCAAGTCAACCAACTACCCAATACTTGCTTTAGGGTATTTTTTAAAACAAAGAAAAAAATTTATTACTGGACTCATAGATCAGATTTTTTAAAATATGATTTAGCTGTTCTTGTAGTCTTTCAAATAGAAGGGATGAAAATTAAGATATATGAATATGTTTGTTTTATATTTCATGAAACAAAAATTAGGATACCTCATTAGATAAGCTAATGATATCACAAAACATTTGAAACTAAGACATACTTTTGATATATGGTATAAGTATCATAGTAAATTTATATATTCTTCTATTGGAGAAAAAAGAATAAGGTAGAAATTATTCTCAAAGGTAAAGTTATTTTAAGCAAACTTACTAAAGTGAAAAAAAACAAGCAAGAAGAAAATAATAACATGATTTTGCTTTTTCCTACAAAACCCTGGGGCTAGCCATGCCAAACTTGATGGCATATGTTTTTGTTCTAATACCCAGAAATTATTGCCATGGCCAATATCATGCTTTTTTCCAGTAAATGTTTTAAATTTAAGTCTTTAGACTAATTTGACTTGATTTTTGGGTATGGTGTAAGATAAGTACCTAATTTCGTTCGTTCCCATGGTGATACGCAATCTACTTAACTCATATATTGAAGAGACACTTATTTTTTCACGTGGAACAGGTCTACTGATTAAGCTATACTATAGATTAGATCACAAGATTAATTATATGATTACTAGTCTCAGTAAGGTGATCCTGGAATACAGGGAAAGGAACTAGAAATGTTGATGCATAAATTGCAAAGTGGTATAAGGTTATGTTGATATTGGATTTGATTCTTTATGGAATTTTTGTAAGTCAAACAACAATAGAATGATACTTTGGCTTTCAGAGAATTTTTCTGTACAGAAATAGAGTTGATGATATCTTATACAAATATATACAAAAATTGCTCCAGATCAATAGCAAACAGAACATTAATTACAGAACTAAACCTGAAAATGAACAAAGCATTTAAATAGATATTTCTCTAAAGAAGGTATACATATCAGCAACAGATTTATAAAAAATACTCAAATCACTATTATGGTAATAAAAATAAAAAATTTCAGTGAGACATAACACTTCTGTTAGAATGCTATAATAAAAAAACTAAGAAGATAATAAGTATTGACAAGGATAGGGACAAATTGGAACCCTTGTATACTTTTGGTGGGAATGCAAAATTGTGCAACTGTTACGGAAAACAGTGTGAGATTTCTGAAGATTAAACATAAAATTACCAGATGATCCAGCAACATCACCTTTGGTGCATGTCCAAAGAATGAAAATCAGTATCTCAAAGAGATGCATTCTAAGACCTGGACATGGTGGTGCATTCTGGTAATCCCAGCATTTGGGAGGATGGGCTAGGTGGTTTGCTGTGTATTGTAGGCCTAGGCTACATAATGAGTTCAAGACATTGTGAGACCCTGTTTTTAAAATTTTAAAAAAGGAGAGATTGTATATATTCCAATGTTTATTACAGCACTATTCAAGATATAAAAGCAATAAAAACTTACATTACAAATGAATAAAGAATGTGTTGTGCATAAATGCAATGGATAATATTCAATCTTTGAAAAGGAGGAAATCCTGCCATTTGGGGCAACACTGATGGATATTTAGAGAGTTATGCTAACTGAAATAAGCCAGACCGAGAAAGACAAATGAAAACACTCATAAAGTAAGCTAAAAAAAAAAAAAAAAAATCAAACCCATAAAAATAGAAAGTAAAATAGTGATCTTCGGTGACTGATAGAGAGTAAACTGGAGAATTATTTTAATGGAAGCAAATTGTCAGTTATAAAAACTTATTAAGTTCTGGAGATCTAGTATGCAAACTTGTACTTTTACATAATACTGTATTAATTACAGCGATATAGTATCATACTCTTAAAACTTCTTAAATGGGTAGATCTCATATGGTGTTCTTATTGCATTTTTAAAAATAGCTAAGAGTCATAGTTTTTAGAGCAAAGAAACAATGTTGAAGTCCACAGAAGACACTCAGGGAAGAGATCTGATAAGTCAAAACAAATGCATTCTTTAAGGTTTCAGTTACTGCAGCCAAAAGTGAGTGACTATAGGAGTTGCTCTGACAGTTCTCTGGCTGTTATTCTGACAGTTGCTGACTTGAAATTCAGTCTTACCCTGAATTTCCACTCTCTTGAAACAGAAAGTTTCTCATGTCTGAACATTGTTTACCATCATTAGTTCCAGGATGGAGGCTCTTTCTTGAAACAGATCGAAGAACATAATAACAAAACTTTATGCCTTAAAAATTTAACACTTTCTTATTTTTTCTTGTACTTTTATCTCTGTCTATAACTGCTGATTGATTCTGGTTACAAAAAAGATCTTGACTATAAAAGACTCAGATAAAGCATGCACAGTACAGCTTAGAGTAAAAATGTACACAATCTATAAAACTGGTGTGCAGTACAATACTTACATGAGCATTGAGGGTGTACAGGAAGCACTAATGTTAGTCACAGACAGATTAATGTAAAAAGAAGAGAAAAGGAAAACGGAAAAGAAGGGAAAGAAAGTTTTTTTTTTTTAGAGATTTGCAAATTTGAGTTTCAAACAGAGCTAAAGAAATACAGTTTCAAACAGAGCTAAAGGAAAAATAACATTAGAAGACTCCAAGTTGAGAAAGTTAAAATTAGATACAGTTAATGACAAAATCACCTCTTACTTTTTCAAATGTTATCTAATATTGACCTGACTCATTTTGGAATTTAAAAAATGGAAGCATTTAAAATAAGAACTATTTCTGAGACCTTTTTTTTTTTTTTTTTTTTTTTTTTTTTTTTTTTTTTTTAAACAACTGATGTCTTTTCAGTGGTTCTGCCTGGGCGGGGTGATTTGGAAACCTCTAATTTTTGGCTCTGGTAATCAGCTCGGGGCACGTTTGTTCTTCATACTGCAGGATAATCAGCACAGAGCAGCTTGCATCAGCCCAGTCCAGGACTCCGAGCAGAGTGAAGTGTTGACCTTTTCCTCCTGGGCTTAGACCTCCCAAGCTTCTTTGCCTAACACTTTACTGTGGAGTTTTTGAAGTTTGACTTTCTCCATTTGTTTAGCAACAAGATAGATATGTGAATTGTAATGCAAAACCAAATTATTTCCTCAGTGGAACATAGGTCATCATTAATCTATTATTTTTATATTTTTTCCAGTTTTTTTTATTACTGAATGGATCATGACAATAGAAGCTATTTAAAAAATAAACAACTCTTTTTATAGTTAACTACCATCTTCACCTCAGGGCTCTGAGGTTATTTGCTCCTTAAATGTGGTTAAAATTTTATATATTTTTCCAGTTTGCAATTCTTTAATCAAATAGTAGAAATTTTTCCTTTTCCTAACTTCAGCACCTTTCACTCTCCTCTTTACCTTATTAATTTTTCTGTTCATTTGTTTGTTTTTGTTGCATTAAAAAATCGTGATGTTTCTCTTATACAATAAAGTATAAAATTGAAATTGAAAGTCAGTTTAAGCTAAGGGAAAGTGCGCTGGATATAGGATCCAAAACTGAAGCATCTCACTTAAATGCTAGGTTTCACTATTTAGTAAGAGTATTATGACTGCTAACGTATGTAAACAATGCCAATCACATTTATTTTAATCATTTCTGACCATTCATGTCATTCTGAATCATCAGGTTTTAAAATCAGAATATAAAGAGCAAGATCTGATGTTGGATATTGTTTTAGTCAGTGTTCTCAAGACAAGGGATTTAATTCAGGACTCAGAAATTAACAAAATTAGTTTACAGATGTAGAAGGGTGCAGGAGACCTGAGATCTAATCCTAACCCTGAGTCTGAGAATGTTAAACATCCGATTGAACATTTAAATATATGTCAATCACACAAATTTAAGTGGGTTTTCTGTTCTGGGTGTCATTTTATTATTAAAAGTAATACTGATGCACAACTGTATCTTTTCTTTACCTATTTGATCCAAACCCTCTGCCATTCTATGTTCAAGATGGGATTAGAATTATCTGAGATTTTCTTCTCATAACTTCAAAAGATAACGATTGCTGCTAATAATTGATTTAACCTTTCAGCAAATCATTGTGAAGTGTTTTGGTAGATAAAGCATTTACCAGACAGAGAGAATACAGAGATGAACCAGATAATATATCTAAATTTAAATAGCCTTATTTAAATACTGTTAGAGAAATGCACAAACCAAGGAAACTATAAGAGAATAAAAGTATCCTAAATGTAGGTCGAAATATGTTAGAGAAATATGTAAAAGTAGATTTACTTATGTTTTAGTAGGTTATAGAGATTATCAAGACATAGATTGTATCGTATGTGATATCCTTTCATTGAAAAGATAGGAATGAGGGACTTCATTACGTCTTATACTATTTTTGTTGGAGTTTATGATTAGTCAACCTCTTAAGACATTAAAAAGTTCACAAAGGCAACAGAATAGGTAAACATCCCATTTATTATGTCTGCGCAGAAAACACAGTGATAACAAATACACTGAAACCATTAATATAGATA